CTAGACCAGTACTGGGCACATAGATGTTCAGAAAATGCTTAAGAAAGAATGAATAAAGGAGGGGATTTAATTAGGCATTGGAGTGTCCAGGACAAATCTTCCTCCACATCTTAATAAGTGTTCTCCGCACTGGAGTGGCATCTTTCCCCATGACCCTTGGCAGTCTGTGACCATACAAATCACATGCCCTGCAGACTTTAAGCCATGTGTTGGGCCTTCTCTCCCATGTCTCTTGGGAACTCTGGATCTCTTTTTCCCCACTTCATGCTTCAAGAAACCAACTGTTTTCACTAACTCCACACCAGACTTGCCCAAACCCCATGAATTACAGTAATCTTTGCCCCAGGGAGTGAAGGTCAGCAGTAAAAATAAAACACACACCAGGGAGTAGGGCTGAACTTCTGGTATTCACAAGAGCATCTGAAGGCTCTCCTGTGACTCATCCATTTATTTTAATGACATCAGAATATGACAGTCTGTTGCATAAAAAATGTACATTATTTATCCCATAGCAGTGAAGTGGCACTATAGCATTGTTTTTAAAAACATCTTAAAAATTTTTCCTCTTAGAATCTATTGTTGGGTTAGAGAAATAAGCTTTGCCAAATGCCCAATTCTGTCTTTGCTTCTCTGGCTAGCTGGCATCTTTCACCAACTTTCCCCAAGCATTTCCTTTGGCACTAATCCAGACTAGAATATATGGGTAAGTGTCACCAAACCATGCTATGCCCCAGCTTCCCAGACATCTGAGTGCACTGTCCAGGAAGGGGGGGGGGGTACTTTCCTGGCCACCTAGAAGGTATTACAGGGTCTTTCTCAAATTTCAGTCTTCCTGGATGCCCATGGTGGAGTAGCAAAAAGAATGATGGCCTGGGTAGACACCAGGGTCTCTTCTTGTTTCTGGTGTTAATTTGTTCGGTGACCTTGGTCTCTGGTTTAGACCTTCCATTTCTCTGATTCTCAGGTTTATCACTCATCAGGGATTCCCTCAGGTTCCTTCAGCTTTAATACTGAGACCCTGTGAATTTTGAGGGGCAAGCCCATTTATGCTAGGGGCTTCTTACAGCAAAGCCAATGGGTGGCTGCTTGGCCTTAGGGTTCAAAGTAGCTTTGTATATGGTGGAAGGCAAGGTTGGCTCCAGCCCCATCCTGGCCACTCCTGGGTTCCTAAGGGTCATTCTGGGGGATTACCTCTCATTCTCTGGCCTTAGGTAATCTCTTTCCCTTTCCTTGCCCCCTCTTCCTTGTCCTTTTTCTGAAGTGTCAGACTCCGGTTCCTTTCTGAAATTGAAAAGGCAAAGCCATCTTCTACATGGAGCCTGTTGGCATGTCAATAGCAGCAACAACAATGGTAATAACATCTTACATTAAAGGTTTTTAGTTTACACTTTACAAATAACTTTTAAATACATCATTTCATCAGCCATTTTAGGATATCTTGGTTGAGTCAAAGGGATTCTCCCTTCTCCTTTGCCCGATTCCTGCTCAGGGCGAAACAGAGCCTAATCCCCCTTTTCACATGTGTACGTATCCACACACAAACACTGAACCATACTTTTAAGCATGCAGATTACCTCACTGAATGTTTCTTGCCCTCTGAGACTTTGTTTCTAGAATTTGGCCATTGAAATAAGAGTTTTAATCTCTATTTGTTAGAGAAACTTCCTTTTGGGGACAATTTTCTTAATGATATTGTTTAGGCATTTCATAAAGTCAGGGTTTCCAAAACTAAGGGGAAGACTCAAAATCCCCCTCAAGCTACACTAAGAACCTGGTCCTTTGTGGCTGACTGCTGCTGGATTCAGGATTGGGCCCAGGGCATGATTGACAGAGGCAGGACTTGGGTTCATTGGGGGAGCCAGAGGGAAAGCTTGCAGCCTGGTGAGTCCTCCCAGAAAAGTCAGTGACCCTGGGGTGGGCTCTCAAGATGGCAGGCTGAGTGGGCTTTATGTCATGTGGAGAGAGGCCAGGTAGGAGTATTGGTGGTAGAATAAGCCTAGGGTTTACCTGCCTGGGTGGGGTGGGCTGGCAGAGCATGAGGGATAGGGAGGGGTGTTGGGCAGATCTCAGGACAGAACTTTTGAGCTACCACAAAGACTCTGGGGACCCACCTGGAAATCAGCATTGTTTAGCCACAAGAAACTGAACAACTGGGAGCCCCCAAGCCGTTCTGGGTGGTAGAGCCCTGTCTCTCCCAAGCCTGTCTTGACTTTGCCCCTAGTTCTCTTCCTAAAACACAGCATGTCTTTCCTTCCCCCTGCTCAAAAACCCCGCTGGGTCCCTGCATTCTAGCTCGCCACACGTGGCTCTTAGCGGCTGAACCTCTGCCTTTACATCTTCCCCACTGACTCCTATTCCCCAGTGAGCATCCCACCCTCCTGCCCCCCCTGGACCTCTGACTGTTCCCGACATACCGGGTCTTTTCCTGTTTCACTCCTTTTTAACAGGCTATGCCCTGGGCGATTAACTCCCTTTCTCAACCCCCTGGCAAACTCCTGTTCATCCTTAAAGATCCAGAATTGGAGATTTCCAACTCTGGACAGCCATTTCCCTTGTTCATATTGCCATCAGGGAACTCCTATAATAAAGCAGTTGTCCCATGATTGTTTTTGCCCTGGACTGTAGGATTCTTTTTTTTTTTTAATTTTTTTTTTTCAACGTTTTTTTTTATTTTTGGGACAGAGAGAGACAGAGCATGAACGGGGGAGGGGCAGAGAGAGAGGGAGACACAGAATCGGAAACAGGCTCCAGGCTCTGAGCCATCAGCCCAGAGCCTGACGCGGGGCTCGAACTCACGGACCGTGAGATCGTGACCTGGCTGAAGTCGGACGCTTAACCGACTGCGCCACCCAGGCGCCCCTGGACTGTAGGATTCTTAAAGGCAGATGTTTCTTTCCCGTGAGGAGTAAGTTCTGGAGTTAGGCTACCTGGGCCTAAATCCTGGCTCTACAGTTTATTAGGTGCCTGCTCTTGTGCAAGTTCCTGAACTTCTCTGTGCCTCAACTTATTCAACTGGAAAATGGGTTAGTAATGTCTTTGCTGCAGGGTTGTTTTGAAAATTAAATGAATATTATATACATATACACACATATACCTGTGTGTGTGTGTGTGTGTGTATATAATATAGAATGGTATCTGATGTATAATGTAGTAAGTACTAAATGAATCTTACTATTTGAAACAAATCCATCATGAGGTACACTAAGTACCTGGAATATAATCTAAGTATGCATATTTTTAAGTAAGTTCTTCCATTTAATTTCTCCCTCCCTTCTTTCCCTCCCTCCCCGCCCCTTTCTCTTCCTCCTTCCCTCCTTATTTGCCACTTGCCTTGTGCTCTTCCATCTTTTCTTTTTCCCTCCTGATTCTTGGAGCCTTTGGCCCACTGTTGGTGCTCACAGAACCACTAGGCTCCTCTGGGGACACTCGATGCTGGAAGGTCCTTTGAGCCCCACACTCTCCTCCCTGACACTTCTGCAAGGGAGGTTCCCAGGGGAAAGGAGGGATGAGTGAGAGATGGGCAGCTGAGCCCTGGAGCCCTCTGCACTAGACTGAGTAGGGAGAGAGGCCAGGGCAAGTCTCCATCAGGAGGTATGCCTTTGCTCTCCTAGAACTCTGTTTAGAAACTTTGGATACTGGGCGAACAGAACAAGGAATGGACATGAGCAGGAAAAATAGCAGTAAAGAACATCTACTTTCTTCTCCTGGTAGGGCTTGTCTGATGAACTTAAACTACCTGAATTTCTCCTGTTTACACCATTCTGGAGAAGGAATCTAGAACTTTTGAGTCTGGCTCTTCTACTTATCAGATATGTGGCTTACGACAAGACACAGAGTTTGAGAGAGGCTTTGGTTTCCTTGTCCGTGAAATGGGGCTAAACGGCTTTACCCTTCTCATGGGGGCAGGGGTTGCATGGATAAAATAAGGTGCGGTATGGATATGCGTTGGGAAGTGTTGCAGATGGGCAAGGACTTGTCATCAATATGACGGTGGTCTGGAGGATCTGGTGGCAGAGGCTTGTGGGAATTCCCCCAAGAATTTTCCAGAGTCATACTTGTAACCAGGCTGTGGGCAGGCTGGGCTCCTGGCTGCCTGCTCTCCCATTACTGCATTCTAATGTAAAATTCGTGGGACATTGGAGGGAAGAGGACGGTGCACAACTTTCCAAAGGAAGGACCGGTGGTTGGGGCCTGAGGAGACTGCATAATCCCTTCTTCCCTTGACTCACCTGGAGAGGGTCAGGAAAAGAGGCGGTGTTTTAAAATTTGGCAAAACAGGCTCAGATGAAGGCTGTGGCAGAGTTTCGGATAGCCCTGTGGTGGAAGCCAGGGCCAGCCTGGAGGGAGAAGAGGGCCCAGACCCCGCTGGTGGCCTGGGGCAGATGGGGGCGGCAACTGCGAGTCTGAGGTGGCCGGGGTGCAAAAGCTTGTCCTGGAAGGATGGGCCTCGGCAACCAGGACTTAAAAGCTGGGTGCTTTTAGGGAAGAGAAAACAGTCATTAAAGATAAGAAGAAACAAAGAAAAATCTTTTCCTTCTCTTCCTCTTATCATTCCTTTTCCTGAGCTCAGTAAGCAGGTCTTGGTATCTCTGCTGACATGATATCACATTAAAAACTTCCTTCTTCCTCGGACAGGCTATCACTTCTTTATTCTTATCCTTTTGTTTTAAAACATTTTTATTAGTCTTTTTTTTCTTAAAATTTTTAACAGCGGTTTATAAAAACACGACAAATACACAACACAAGACTTGGTAAAAATAACTCACTATATGGTACATATACTCAGACGGTGTGATATATTTATATAATAAAAGATGAAAATAGTCACTTTCCATAATAAAAATAAGTTCTATTTTTTGTTTATTTTACAATATACTTAATATTCTCTTCTTCTGCTTCCTCTCCAGCGCTCACTTCTTCACCTCGAGTCTCGAGGGGGGTCCCACGTGGCTGTCGCAGCCCCACGAAGCTGGAGTCTGAGAGGTGGGGGGCAGAGGGCCTTAGGAACACGCGCGGCAGCCACACTCCAAGTGTCTCTCCACCTCTTCCACAAACGAGGAGCCGTCTGTGCACTGGAAGACGTATTTCCGCCGCTTGCTGCGGGTGGGCTGGCAGCACTGCAGCCCACAGCCCCCACGACACTCCATCACGGGCACTTTGGAGGCTGTGGCGCAAGACGCATAGCCTTTCTGGCGGCGGATCACCTCTCGGACTACCTCCCCCAGGCACAGGCTCTCTGCAGAGGGTAGAAAAGGTAAGGTCAGGGCATCGGTGGCATCGACGACAGGCCAGGGCCATTTCCTGGGTAGGCTGTTGGGAAACACTTGAGGTGTAAAGACCATTTGAACGTCTTCAGTCATCCCTCTGTCTCCCACCTGTTAACTGCCTAGTGATTCCACAACTATGAAGGCCTTTCCTGGGCCAGGCTCTCTACGGGATTTATGACTAAGCCCTGAGGATCTAATGGTGACAAAAACAAGCCCCATCCTTTCCTTCAAGGAACTCCAAGACCAAACTCGATGTGGCAAAGTAGTAGACGGGGGGCTAACTCCTGTGCCCCAGTTTTGATGTGTCACCTAGACTTAGAAACTGAGCTAAATGTCACCATTAAAAACCCCAGGAGCTTAAATAGTGGGATTTCTGGTTTCACAGAAAACCAGGAAGGGTCTGGTTTGCCCCAGTCCCCACTGGTGCAGCATCTCGGTCTGTTCACTTCAGCGATGACAGAATTAGTAATGATAAACAGAGGTGGATGCTCTATAGGAACAGAACGTGGCAAACAGCCTGCTGCAGCCCAGGGGTGTGGCTCTGGAAAGTGCTGCTGGAGGTGAGGTCTGCTTGGAGTTTCATCTTCTGACTGCACTGTCCCTACGACATTGGGAGGAGGGCTGCAGCAAGGCACTGAGGAAGACCATACTGAGCTTAGAGTTTGGCTTTGGCCATCAGCCAGACCCTCACTATCCCTGAGCCTGTCTCCTTGTCTGGAAATGGTGATACATTTCCCTGTCCTTCCTATGCCTCACAGCTTATGAGCCTCAGAGGAGACTGTGAGTGAGAAAGGGCTTTATGCATTTTAATGAATTTTGTTAAGCTTGATATAATTCTTCTAAATTATGAGATTGTTACAAGATAATGAGTGTATGAGTGTAGGAATGTGGTTGGCGAGAGACCAGATGTGGCAACATGTTAATTGGGCAATCTGGTGAAGGGAAGGTGGGAGCTCTTCATATTCTGGCAATTTTTCTGTAAATCATGTTTCAAAATATTTAATAAAAATTATAAAAACATCAGTTTTGGTTGAATAGTATTTCAACTAGATATAAATGTGAGTGTCCCTTAGAGACAAGGTGGTCTGCCTAGGAATCCAGTGGCAGGGAGGAAGACTTCAGTTTCCGCGCAGGAAAATAACCCCCTGTGGGGAGGTGGATTTGAATTCTAATACAATCGAGTCTTAATTTTCCTGTTTGAGTTTACTTCAATATTAGCACACTACAGGGGTGCCTGGGTGGCTCAGTTTAACCATCCAACTTTGGCTCAGGTCATCATCTCACGATTTGTGGGTTTGAGCCCTACCTCAGGCTCTGTGCTGAAAGCTCAGGGCTTGGGGCCTGCTTCGGATTCTGTGTGTCCTTCTCTCTCTGCCCCTCCCCCACTTGCATTCTGTTTCTCTCTCCCTCTTAAACATTAAAAAAAAAATTTAAATGCACTACAGGGGCTGGGGGAGGGGAAGAGAGTAAGGAGGGTTTGAACTGCTGTGTTGGGGAGCTAATTTGTTACAGAGCAATAGACAACTGCTGCAGCAATGTAGGGTATTGCCCCCATTTTCAAAATGAAAGAACAGAGGCTTTTCTAGAAAGCGGCTGACAAAGGTCATGCAGCCTCCAGGTGGCACAGCCAGAATTCAAACTTCAGTCTGGCTCTGGGGTCCAGTTCTGACCCCTGCACCCTTCTCAGGTTCCCCCTCCTGGGCACACAGACCCACCTTGCTCGCAGTGCTCCCCACTAAAGCCAGGCTGGCACAGACAGTAGGGCTCCCCTCGATCTGAGATGTGGCACTGCCCCTGGTGACACTTGAAGGCCAAGCAGGCGTTGGTGGATTCGTTCTTGTGGTCACACGTGGGCCCCCCGTAGCCCTCTGCACACTTGCACACATATGAGGTCCCGGTTGCTACACATTTCCCATGGCTGCAACTGTTGGCAGAGGAGAGAATGAGAAGGGGCAGAGACGGTGCTGCTGGAGGCTTTCTCTGTCCAGCCCAGCCAGGGACCAGGCTCTGACCAGCAGGCCCAGAGCTGTGGAACCTTAGGTCTTCTCCATCCCATGGTCTGTCCTCTGCTAGCCCAGCGGCTGAGCAGCAGTCTTGTCTTACTCTGCCACAGCTGGAGGCTCACATCACCCAAACTCCACTGCCAACTGTGACCATGAGGCTGGCTTGCTGTTCTCTAGGCATTAGAACTCACATATCCAAGCGGAAGGTCACAGCTCAGAACATTTTAATTGCCCTATCTTAACTGATAGCAATGGAACTATTACCAACACCATCAATGGTGCCAGGCATGGGACTAAGTGCTGTATACCTGGCATCATTCTTATTTTCTACAATCACCTCTCCTCTGCTGCTTCTATGTAGAAGACAGTCTTATTCACATCTCCTAGATGGAGAAGTTGAGGCTGAAATTCACCCTCAGTCCACTTGCCAAGCCAAATGCTCATGGGGCTGCATCTGCCCAGAGTCATGTAGGTATGTGCTGTGGCTCTGGACAGGTTCTAAAGGGTCACTTGGCAGAGACCGGTGTTCTCAGCAAGGTCCTCACACACTGAGGTCTCTAGGTGGGACCTGCTGTTTGGCTGTGTAAGTTCCTGATCTCTTAAGCGGGACCTGTGGACAGTCTGACCACACTTCCTCCAGCTTTTATTGGTGCCGCTTCTTGGGTGGGGAAGGGGTTGGGGGGAGGGACTGAATCCAGGCAGGGAGTCTAGGCTCTCGGGACACTGACCTGTGGCCCAGGCAGGGGTCGCGGGCCTCCTGGTCGCAGAGCGGGCCGGTCCAGCCCGAGTGGCACTCGCACACCACGCTGTCCTTCTCCACGGAGCGACACAGGCCGTGCTTGCACACGGTGCAGGACTTGCAGCCTGGTGAGACCCCCAGGGACTGCGGTGGGAGGGCCTTGAAGTCTTGCAACTCGTTGTTGATGCGCACCTCATGGATGCAGCCATGGAAGCCGCCCAGCGGCCGGTCCGTGCCCTGGCGCAGGGCTGAGAGGCCCGTAGAGGTGGGGATGCCTGGGGGAGGGGCGCCAGCACAGCCGCCTGAAGACCCTTCCCTGCCCACCAGCCCAGACTTCCCCTCAGAGCAAGGAGGAGGTCTCTACGTGCTCACAGTTAAGTGCTCACAGCTCTGGGCCTCTGCTGTTCAGATGGAGGGAATGGACCCAAAACCTGGGACCTTGTCCACAGAAGGACTTGAGTCCTTTTTCCTACACTTTGACTCTTAAAAATGTGAATTTGTTACCAACCTATTTTAAATATAGAAAATTTCTAAAATCTCTATTTTGGGCTCGTCTAGAAAAAAAGACGAGCTGGCTAGTCACAGGGCCACAACTAGTTGGATGGAGGAGGCCCACCCCTCTAGGCAGGGAAGGGATGGTGCCTCCCATTCCTCTACTGTTCCCACCAGGTCCTCCTGTCCCCATCCCTTGTTCTACCCTGCACAGCACCAGGCTGGAGAGCTAGAGTTTGGGAGAGAAGGGGTTTGGGTGAGCAGCCTTGATCTGTGGAAACTTGGGGGTCTTCACAGGGGGACAAACTGTGTCCCTTCTGGGACTGCCCTTGCCTGAAGACTTTCCCTGGACCCCTGGCACCTGGACTGGCTGTTAATACAGATTCCTGGGCTCCTTGGCAGGGATGTCTTGGGAATCTCTGTGCTGAACAAGCTGCTCTGGTGACTTTTTTTTTTGCACATAACCCTTTGACATCTACAGGTCCTGGGCTGCACTTCAGGTCTAGGCTCTGCCAGAGAGGTGGCTACTTCTTTTTGGCCTTTGTATGACTTTAATCTCAAACATGTCCTACATGCATCACATGAGCCTCCCAGTATCTGACATGGTGGCAGAGCAGAGGGAACATGACCCCTGCAGATCATGGGGCTTGGACTCTGTCTCTGTTTCCTCCCTCTCCATTCCATCTTTGCCTCTTCCCACCATCATTCCTGAACCACTTGTGCTTCCCAGAAGGAGCCCTGTCTTCTCTCCTCTCCTCCTCCCCATGGTCTGGCTTACTTGTCACTTCCTCCAGGAAGCCTTCCGTCATTTGTTTTGGCAGTGGATGCTGAGAGTAGGGGAACCCCAGCCAGTGGGCCTGGGTGTGGGTACCTGAGCACAGGTGGGGGGTGTAGGTGGTGGGGATGGGAGGGGAGAAAAGCCTTACCTCCGAGGTAGAGGGGGCTGTTGATGCCTACTGCCGGCTGCTTCTGGAGCTTTCCCAGGCTCTTCGGGGCTCCTTTATCCACCACCAAGTTCAGGGTCTGATTTAGCATCACCAGCTCCACACTGTGAAACTGTCCGTCATTCACTGTCTCCACACTGGGCAAGAGAAAAGGGGTGAGAATCAGAGGGATTGCTTTATGCTTTCTGTAGCCAGGCCCTGGGCTGTGAACGTGGCCAGCATTTGAACTTGGCCAACCATGAAGCACAAGTGGTTCATGGTTATCATTATTGGTTTGCATTCCTTTCCAGTGTTTTACAGAGGTAAGCAAACTCCATCCTCCGACCACCTTCTCAATTTTTGCTCTACTGCATGCCACTGGAACCATTATTTCCTTAAATTTTTCTTCAGTTGCTCCATTTCCCCCTTAAACACCAGTAAGGATATAATAAGGCCAATGTTCTTGGAAGGAATACTGTCCACGAAAAGACTATTTCAGTATGATGTATATATTTTTCCTAGTACGTATGAAAAAAGTGATCTCAGTTAAAATGTCACCAGTGTCTTTGTTCCACCTAAATTCGTCTCATGCACCATCCGAAGTATGCACGCCATATTTGGATTAATATTACCACACAACACTGCTTCACGTGTTTACAGAATTATAGAAACGAGGAAACAGAAATTCAGGGAGGTTAAATAATGTTCCTAAGTTCCCACAACTAATAAGCCATAGGCTAGGGATGTACACTGAGGTGCATCTAGCCTCAAAGCCCACATGCATGCCCGTTTCCCATCGCCTCCCTCAGTACCAGCAGGCAGTCACCAAGGGCTTATGAGACACAAGAGCTAGGCACAGGGCTAAATGGTTCTCTGCTATTATTTGAACCTCACCATCATTCTATGAAGTGGTGTCAGATATCCCATTTCACAGCTAAGATGACTGAGGCCCAGAGAGGTTAAGGGGTTTGTCTGAGGTCATCCAGCTAGTATGTTCCAGAGACAGAATTCACAGGCAAAACATTTGACTCCATAAAGTTCTGCTCTTTCCACTACTTGATCCTCGGCTGGGCCTGGGAGAGAGAAGTGAGCGCAGGTGATAGGTATTGGGGGATATGGTACACCTTCCCTGAAAATGGCTCTCTGAGGAGGACGCTGAACTCTGTCTTAACCATTCAAATGTGGGTGGTGAATATGGAGGCTCCCTCTCCCCTTGAGTTCTCCCTGGCAAATCCCCAGTAAGTTGGATCCAACAAGAGGATCCTATGCCAGAGGTGGCACCGATTACCTGGGAGGCAGGGACAGCTTCACCGACTGACCTGGAGTTAGAAATCTCAGCAAAGAGGTGAGAGAAATGCTTGGGAGAAGAGAGGATAAATTGGGGTGGGGTGGAGAAAGCATGGAGTCTGTCCTAGCCCCTTTTTCAGTGGGTGTGGCCACTCAGCGAGTGTGGCCACTCAGAAACAGAACCCCTCTGGGTTTCCGGTCTTCTCATCTACAAAAGGGGGAGAACAACCTGACAGAATTACTGCAATGATTGAATCAGAGGAGGTACTTGAAAGTCCTTTCAAGACTTTGTAATTTACACTGTAAATTATTGAGAAAATGTGACCCATTATCACTAGTGTCAGAGTATTAATGACGATAAGAACCGACCATTGCCTGCAAACCTCCTGACTCCTGCTCTTGTGCTGATCTCTGGGAGAAAGTGCTGGTAGAGGGGGGCACGCAGGAGCCCAAGACCTTCCCAAACCCATCATGAACTTTCTTACTCTTCCATCTACCTATCATCCAACCATCATCTATCCTTCCAACGACTTGTCTCTCATCCATCCACCTACTCGCCCACCGAGACCAGTGGCAAACAGTACAGACATGTACCATCACGAGCCCACATTTCCTTAGCCTTTCCTTTAAATCAAACCACCAACATAGTAGTGTCAGGTCAGGTCAAGAAATAGGGCAGTGGGGGTGGAGTGATAGCTAAGAGTCCATTGGAGGATCTCATTTGTGATGGGGAGCCAAGAAGCCATAGAAGATGGAGCTGTTCTATTTCAGTAGCTTCCAGCTACTCTAAGTAGTGAGCTGAGGATAAGTCAGAGACCTGTGTTCCTGCAGATGAGTTGATGATGGTGTCAGTGGGGGAATGAGGGCTGGTGTGCAGAGACCACAAACTCTGACCTTGAGCCCTAACACAGTTTTTTAAACATACATGCAAGAACATGCAGCTGTATCCCTAAACCATTTGGTAAATTGATGCTGTCCTGAAAGAGCTCCCCCTCTCCTGAAGTGTGTAACTAATGCTGGGCAGCCACCTGTTAGAGAGGAGTTGTAGAGAGGCTGCAGCTCTGGGTGGGTGGTCTTGGCATTCCCTTCCAATATTAAAATTCAGGGAGTCTGAGGCAGCCACTATCCCATTATAAACACCCACAGACACAGTGAGCAAACACCTACCACTAACCCCTTCCTGGCCACTTGCTCCAAGTCCGTTCCTTTTTTCCTTCCTGCACTCCATGCGCTGGTCCAGGCCCTGGTGCTCCTCCATGGAGGGTCCCAGCCTGGAGACAGTGGTTTGGCAGGAGCCGCAGGAGCAGAGAGGACTGTGAGACCACCCTTCCTGCCCCCAGTTAAGTGCTAGGCTCCTCAGTGCCCTAGCCAGTTGGCTGTGTGGAGAGCCTCTCTTGATTTCCATAAGGCAGGCCCCTTCCTCCAGCTATACCCTTCAGCTAGTTCATGCTCAGGAGTTGGAGAGATCTGATATCACACTGGGTCCTCCAGCTGAGGGACTCTTGGCAAGCCCACTTACATGCTATGGGATTGGTGATGATGTTGACCTCACTGAGTTCTGATTGACAACACAGGGCCCCTGACACCTGGCAAGCACTCAAAGGTGGAATGATGATTTCTTCCACCCTGATCCTGGGCTTGGAGGAGCGGGGTGTGGCAGGAGAGACGAAGTTGGGGAGCGGGTTACTGGACCTGAAGGAACTCTTCTACTGATTCTCAACCTTCCAGCTGCCCAGGGCTTTGGGTTTCTGTCTGCTTCCACTGGCTCATAACCATCTCTGAGGAAGGCACTCATGAGAGCCACATTTTACAGAGAGGGAACCTAAGTAACTTGACCAAGGCCACATTGCTAGAAGTGGTGGAACTGAGGTTCAAAGTCAGTATGGATTCCAAATCTAAACCTCCCATAACCCACGCCAGTAGGTGTTCATGGGTTGACAGGTTGCCTTCCTGGCACATCTTTACTAGGATCTCCTGGAAATGATGCTAAAGCCAATGGTTTTCACACTGTAGGTCCCTGGAGGGAACTGCAGGCTGTGATTTCTCACCGCCATCTAACAAATCAGGATGGCTCCATTTCTACCTACTTCCCCGCCTCCCCCCACCTTTTAAATCTTGGCCTTTGAAGTGTATAATGAGAAAAATGACTCTGCTGCTATAAGAAAAAAGATTGGGGTAAAAAAACAAAACAAAACAAAAAACTCCAACCCAAACCACCTGCTGTTAACTCTAAAAGAAATGATCCCACTGTGGTTCCAAGCCTCCTAATTTGTCTCTGGAGAGAGATTTGGGGATTACAGGGAAGACTCAGTGGGGCTCTGAGAGTCTTTCCCAGTATGTACTGGGCCACATGAACCAGCATCCAGTGGGAGGTAGAGAGCACTGGAGGTGTCAGAGCTAGCTGGGTGGCTTCTGTGTGGGACCGGCATGAGGACATGTGGAGTTCTATTCTGCTTTTAATATCAACAATGGGAGCGTGTTGGGTGCTACAGGACTATGCACTGTGCTACTCTGTGCTAAGCACTTGACCTGCATTCTCTCATTTAACCCTAACAAGCCCCTAAATGAGACATACAATTTTTTTGCCATTTTAGAGATAAGAGGCCTAAGGCTTGGAGACTTAAGGTGTCCAGCTCAAAGACTTAAAGTGGAAGTGGTGGAGGCAGACTGAAACCCAAGCTCCTAAACCAGGGACCGTACTTCCCTGGGGAGTGAACGGTTGGTGGGCCATTCCTCCAGGTGCTGTTGGGCCTGCTCACCTGGCTGCTGAGTTGTGGCCACTAGGTGGCAATAGAGCCTCGCAGGATCAAATAGTCCCTGGGATTTCAGTTAAGCCGAAGTCAGAGACTTCAAAGTCAGAGACTTCAAAGACTGCAGGGCAGCAGCTCCCCAACTCCTGGAGCACCATGGCCCCAACTCTCTCTTGCTCTGGCCTTCATGCCCCAGCACAGTGGGAATATGGGTTCTGGTGGGAGCCTGACCTGGGTTTGAATCTCAGCTCCGCCATTTACTGGTTTGTGTGCTTTAGGGCCAAAAACTTCACCTGATCATCATGTTTCTCATCCCTAGAACAGGAGTGATGACGCTTACCCTAGGGCTTGTGGTGAGGAGCAAGTGAGACAAAGACCTTGGCAATGGATGGGACTATGGTAAATAAGACTCAGGGAGCATGTGTGATGGTCCAAAGAGAGCTCTCTTGTGGTGTTTGGCCAACCTTTGAACACTGAGCTATTTCACATGGAAACCCTGAGTTTCTAGTGCTCCTTGATGATCTGCATTCCCACGGGGCAGCATCTGCTGGGGCAGAGGTCAGCTGTCCCTTTGGACAAGGCCTGTGCTCCCCAGGCTACCACACTCCTCACACTCCCACGGAGACCTCAGTCCGCTTTCCCCAGGTTGGTTCCCTCACTTGGCCCCTTGGCCTCGCTGGTAGGAAATAGTGCCTGAAGTTCCTCTGACAAGTCTCAGAACTACAGAACAGTGCAGCCTGTTCCCATTCTGGGGCAGGCAGGCAGGGGCAAAGACAGGCTTTTCTGTGTATTTGCCCTGGAGCCTGGGGTCAGACCTTGAAGCACCAGCACTCCCCTGTGGCTATAGTTAGGCAGATGAATCAAACCAGGCTCCCACATAGAGGAGGCTCAGAATCCTGCTGCTCCAGACCTGTGGTTCCCTGCTGGGGGCACTGGTGGTTCATTCTCACTCTGGGGCTGTCCATGGGGCCTCAGTGGGCAGAATTTTGCAAGCTGCCAACTCCCCTGATTATTACCTTTGGTTTGGCACCCTGGCCCTGAGGCTAAGGAGGCCTTCCTAGGTGGCCAGGGGTCACCACAGTGATCCTGTGCCCTCTATTAACCCCAGTCCCACACAGTGTGGCTTCTGTGCATACTGATGGGCCTCCCCCAGCCCAGTGCCTTCCGGAAAGGCAACCTGTGGAAATGCTTGTCAGCCACAGCTGAAGCCTCAGCTCAACGTTACCACTTCCTCCAGGGAGCCTTCCCTAGTCCTCCAAGCAGAAATGTCTGCTCCCATAGCATGCACCCGTATCTTCTGCAAGACCTATTTTATTCTGCCCATGTGACTATTGCTTGTTTACACACCTGCCTTCTTCCCTGGACTGTGTTTTGCTTAACTCTGGGTCCCCCACACTTAGTCCAGGACCTGGTCCATGCAAGGTGCCTGGGAGAGGTTTGCTGAGTGAAAGAGTGCACAACTGGGGCAAAGCCAGTGCTGCCACACAGAAGACTGGAAGCAAACCCATTTTAAATAATGGGATTTCTGGAGACTTGGGCCCTTCAGGATTGTGAGCTGAAGGGCACTAAGAGTCTGTCACTAGGCTTTGCCTGTGGGCATGGGCATACTTCACTGGGTTCCTCCTGTGGATAAAAGGAAGAGCCTGGGGTCTCCCCAGGGCCCCCTTATTAACCCTCAGCCGACTGACCCCCTGACAAGGGGAGAGAGTAGTTCTATAGGGGAAAGTAGTTCTCTGGGTTCCTATTTCACAACCTGGTTCAGACAGCAGAAAAGCATTCCAACATTCTTACCAACAACATCACCCTTTTACCAAACCACCCCCCCAGCAGCTAACATCAGTGTGAGGGAAGAGCTAGGCTCTGCTGGGATGAGCTCTGGACAGAGCCCAGCCCCCTCCCCAAGCCTGGCTGCCACCTTCTGTCCTTGACATGCTCATGTAAAGGCTCAATTTGCCAAGCACTTTCTCATCTGCCAACCCTCAATATCCAAACGCCCCCCCCCACCCATCCTGCCCTCCTCTTGCAGAAGTATGTCCTATTATCCACAGTACACAGGGAAGGAGACTGAGGCAAGAGGTCGAATACCTTGTTCAAACCTGGATGTGTCTGATACCACAGGCTGTGTGACAGGCTGCCCCAGGCCCTGCACCCAGGCTCTCTGTCCACTTGGCCCATGACCAGCGGCTCCAGAAACACAGATGTTGGGAGGCCCTGACTCCAGGGAACTCGTGAAGCCACTGGTGACAGCTCCTTCTCCTGGCATCTATTGTACCCAACTGTCCTAGCCTGGTCAGTGATCCCTCCACCCACCCCTGCTGTGAACCTCTGCTCTGGTCGAACCCCCTGTGTTTTCCCCTAGGCTTGCCGGTGATGTCCCCTCAGCCTGTTTGCCCACCTGTTCTCCTGCTCATATAAATTCTCCCTCTCATCAAGACCCAGCATAAATGGTTCCTTCTCCAGGAAGGCTTCCTGTGTGAGCTGGAAAGAATCAGGCTTGTGCAAAGAATCACCTGGAAGCTCCCTGAAACAGATGGCTGAGCCCTACCCCAGTGCTTCTGTCAGTAGGTGTGGGGTGGGGTCTGAAAATGTGCCCATCTCACAAGTTCCTGAGTGCGTTGCTGCTGCCGCCCTGGCACCACACTTTGAGAACCACTGGTTTAAACCAATGGTTCTCGACTGGGTTTGTAGGTGCTGTTTTGGGGGTTTTCATGAGAGGAAGTGTGAAGGAAGAAGCTTGGCTCTCTCAAGCCCCTGCAGGACAGTTTTGCTTCTGTGTATTTAATATTCTTGAGTTCAATAGAAAAGTTTTGATTGAATAAATGATTTAGTCTGAAAACTGCTGCTCTTCCCCAATCCTAACCAATGTGCTCCTGCTTGCAGAGGGGAAAGGCTGGCCTCGGGATGCGGGCCCTTCTCACGCACGGTGCTCTCCCTCCAAGGAATGGCTCTCCTGCCTCGGGCAGTTTTATGTGATTTTTAGGTGTAACACAAACATTTCTCATCTCAATGGTTATTTTTATAATTATTACAAAATATTTATGACTAAAATGATTTTTTGTGTTTAGTACTTATTCCTCTGAGAAGTAGAAACAAATCTAACGTTGAGCTAGCATATCTGTGATTTCACAGACGATATTCCTTGAGATGAAGCTCAGGGTAGAGAGTGAGCACATTTAAAGCCTATGTAAGGTAACCTGCTAAGTAACAGTATAGCTGACATACCATATTTTTACAAGCTTTTTGTAAAAATCAGGGCGATTGTTGGAAAGACTGAAGTTTAGGAAAAACCACCCTTCAGAACAGTTTGAAAGTCACTTAAGGAATAGTCCTGCTCCCTCGGTGCTCTGGAATTTCTTCCCCTTGAGTTGCATGCTAATCTCCCCCTGTTTTCTTTCTTAAACTAATAAAAGATGAGGATGACATTTTGAAAAGGGCACCTCATTAAGCAGCCTCATCCCCATTGGCACACACAGCTCTGCGCGGTAGCCAGCTGGCCATTTATCTTATGGTAATGAGGTGTCATCTCCCTGTGGGGTCAGCCTTCATCTCCTGCCTCTTCCTCCAGCACCGCCCCTCTCCCTCCCACCAGCCGCTCTGAGTGTGTGTGCGTGGAGGGCAGCAGGGAGAAGAGGCATCAGAGTGGCCCTGGCACCTTCTCTCAGGGCAGGAAGCAGGAGGGAAGACGCAGGACCCATGTGCGTTGGCGGGAGGGGCTGTGGTCCTTACCTGTACACTGTGGTTGGTGGGGAGCTCAGACTGTCATAGACGAGCCTCACGTGGCCCTGGTACAGCTCCAGCGCGAGGGGGTCATTGTCTCCCTTGTACAGAAGGATGCCGTTGTCCTTGTCAGTGGCCACCTAGAGAGGCATGTGGGTTAGGGCTCCCCTGAGGACTAGCCTCCCCAACCCCCCCTCACAGAGACCTCTTCCGGGAGGCATCTTCTGAATGGACCCCAGATCTGAGTTCATGTCCCTATTTTTTCCTTTGTCTGGTCTGGAAATTGCTAGGAGGGCATATACTTCTACTCCAGCAAATGCTGATGGTGCAATTCAATTCAATAACTATTTAATGAGCACCCACTGTGAGCCACTTTGTTTATGTATACACTTATAAGATAAATATAACACACACACTATTTTAGTGTGCATGTGTGTGTGTGTGTATGTGTGTGTCAGGAACCCCAAGCTCTACTCTGGCCTCTCTCACCGGCATACAATGTAATCCCACCCAAATCCTTGCCCCTCTCAAGGCCTCCGCCTCTCTGTATAATTCAATCATAAACAAAATGCTAACAATTACCATTTCATTCGGTGTTTACTATGAACTAGGCGCTGTGTTAAGAGTCATCTGGGGAATTAAAAAAAAAAAATCATTGTCTAGGCTTCACCCCAAACCAACTACATATGACTCTCAAGGTGGGGGAGGGGGCAGGCAAAGACAATTTTAGGCATTCTCCAGGTGATTCTAATGTGTTGCCAAGGCTGAGAGACACTGGTTTCAGAAGTTGCTGCCCAGAGGGCACACCCCGCTGTAGGCTAAGGTTTCTTGATTAGCCTGTCCACTCCCATTGCCCAGCACAAGTGCAGCTTAAAGGAATGGATGTGGAGCAGGTGGTCTGATGGACCCTCTGGATGTTCAGCACAGTGCTGTTTCTGGTTGGGGCTGGGACCCAACATTCAGGTCCCTGGGTGGGTGGGATGCAGGGAGGAAGGCAGGAGGGCAATGAGGAGGACCCAGGAGGGGCTGACACACCCAGAGCTTCCTGTGTGTGTGTGTGTGTGTGTGTGTGTGTGTGTGTGTGTGTGTGTTCAGGGTCAACGCTCATCTCAGACGCCTGCCCACTGGACTGGAGGCTCCACAAGGTGAGGCAGTTTGAGCTTTCTGTGCATTTCTGCAGCCCCAGTACCTGCAATGGTGCCTGGCATGCAGAGGCATGCAACAGATCTGTGTTGAACAAGTATTTTCACCATAAGCTTAAAGCTAGAGTGTCCATGAGCAGAAGGAGAGCAGGGCCGTAGTTAGTGCCATGTGGCAGGGGCCACTCACTGGGCTGCATCCTCCAGCTGTGTCTCTGGGGTCTTCCTCCCCAGAAAGCCTAGGGGCCAGGGCCTGCTCTTTCTCAGCCATATACCATCCTTGCTCCACCCTTCCCAGTTGCATTTGGGTCACCCAGAAATGCATTTTGGAATAACTTTGCTCAGGTCCCCAGGTAAGGAACCTGAAAGAAGTTAGCTGGAAAAGAATTTGGTTCCTACTAAGTGGTTTTTCATTCTCTGAGAAAGGCCCTGCTTGTTTGTGCCTCTGGGCCTTTGTACATGCTGATGTCTCAGGCTAGATGGCATCCCCTCTTCATCCTGCTCTGCCAGCCCCTCATTCTTCTATCCTTCTCCAGGCAAACTCCTACTCATCCTTGAGATCTCAGTTTAGTTACCACTGCCTCTGGGGAGCCTATCCCATTCTTTTCAGCGGGCGAAGGAGCTCCGTCCCACCTATGTGCTCCCACAACACCCAGAGTTGCCACTGGCCCCTCTGCTTGTCAACTTCCCCTGGGCAAGGGGCTCTGTCTTGTCCATCACTGAATCCCCATTGTTAGCACAGTGTCTGACATGTAATATTTGAGTGAATATTTTCTAGATAAATGAATGGAAAAGGCTGCACGTGGGGACTGCTATTAGCAGTGAAAGCCAGTCAAGAGTTGTCTGTAGAACAACAGCTGTTCTCAGAACAACTGGAGCTTGGGGGGCACATAGGGGCGGGGCGCACCTGCAGGGAGATGTTGGCCTGGGGCCGGACCTTGGCGGAGGCTAGTTCCACGTAGGAGTCTTTGCCCACAAAGTTGACAGTGATGAGTTTCTCGCACCTCGGGCCGGCGAAGCCTGGGGGGCAGCGACAGGTCGGCTCCTGCTGTACCACGATGCACTGGGCCCCGTTCTGGCACTCATACTGGTCACAGGGACTGGTCTGAAGCAGGACCATGGGTGGGGGGTGCTCACAGAGGAGCCCGCTGTGGGGAGGGGAGAGGAGGGACGGAGGAGGGATGAGGAAAGAACAGTGTGGGGAGACAATCATAGTTATTTGGGCCAAAGAGCCACCAGCAGAGAGAGGGAAGAAAGATGGTAACTGGGACTTGTTCCAGTCCTACCACCAACTGGGGCAAGCCTTTTCCTTCTCTAAGCCCCAGTTTCCCCATTTTTAAAATAATAGGGTTGCATGAGAGTGCTGGCCCCCAAGTTTCAGTGTCATCAGAAACATCTGGATGAATTTGTTAAAAGCCCAGATTCTCATCCATCCATAGATGAGTGGATACACAAAATGTGGCACATGCATACGATGGGATATTATTCAGCCTTAAAAAGGGAGGACATTCTGACACCTGTTACGACATGGATGAACCCTGAGGACATTATGCCGAGTGAAATAAAGCAGTCACAAAAACACAAATACTGTGTGGCTCCACTTTTATGAGGCACTTAGAGCGGTCAAATTTATAGGGTCAGAAAGTAGAATGGTGGCTGCCAGGGCCATAGGGAGGGGGAATGGGGAGTTAGTGTTTAATGGCGACAGAGTTTCAGTTTTGCAAGATTAAAAAAGTTCTGGAGATGGATGGTGGTATTGGCTGCACAATAATGGAAGTGCACTTAATGACTCTGAACCGTACATGGAAAAATGGTTACGATGGTAAATCTTATGTTATGTATATCTTACCACAATTTAAAAACATTAAAAAAAAAGTGCAGATTTCTAGCCCCTTCTTTCTGCCCCCATTCTAATTTAGTAGCTCTGGGGTGGGCCTCAGGAATTTATATGTTCCCAAGCCTCAACATGGTCTCAATCAGGCTTTGGAAAAACTGGCCTTTTCAGAGTGGTTCCTTCTCAGAGTCTATGACCAAGGCTCATTTGCGTAGTTGGATTTATGTTATGCAGCAAGTACTGATGTACATGGAATTGTCCCCAGGCCGCCCCGTCCCCCGCCACTTCAGGTCTGGTCCTTGCCTCCCCTCCAGTGCCCCCTATACCCTTCCCTTCCAGGCAGTGTAGGTGTGAGGGCTGGAACCCAGTTTCTCCTTGTATATACCCCATGGACCTCTCCTGATCCCCTGGTCAGTGCTTCCCATCCCCTCCTTCTCTTCTGGTTTCAGTGATTCCAGTGACTAACCCCAAGCTCTCCTATTTGCCTCCATTTTTTACCATTAGGGCACAAGGTTTTTGTTCTCCAGCCTAAAAATAAGATTCCTGCCAGTGTGGCCATGTGGCTACCCCTACCCTGTAAGCTGAGCTCCAAGATGGTAGCATCTTCCATTAGAAGGAATCATGCCCAAGCTTGACATTATGTGAGCTGGACCCTAAGTCCAACTCCCACATGGGTGCCCTGGATGGCTCTTCTGTCTATAACACGGGGTTGACAACATCTGGTCTTTGACAAGGAAGGACTGACCTTCCAAGGAGACTCAGGAGGCCCAGGGCTAGGGCTACCTGGGCATGGGTGAGCCTGCCTTAGCTCACCAGTCCCCAGCCTGCAGGCCCCTTCCCGAGGGGCCCCTCCACCATACCTGAAGCCCTGGGGGCAGATGCATGTGTAGCTGTTGACTGCATCCACGCACTGGGCCCCGTGGCGGCACCTGTGGTTCACGCAGTCATCATTGTCCACCTCGCAGAGCTTCCCGCTGTAGCCAGGGGGACATTCACACCTGGAACACAGCAGAGCAAGGCTGTCCATGTGCCAGGCTGGCTTCTAGGTGGCCCTGTGTCGTCTCTGTCTACCCATGTTCCTAAGTCCCTCTCAACTCTTGAGGACTCTCCAAAGCCTGGCCCGCAGTTGGTTTCACTGGCCATCCATGGGCTCTGGGTCCCTGCAAGTTGACGTTTGCTTGCTTCATGTGGTGACTTCTGTTTTCAGGAGTGGGTGGTGGGGCTGCTGATGTGCTGCTCCTCAGGGAAGAGGATGGGAACTGCAGCACCCTCTCTCTGCCCCCACCGGCCCTGCTGGCCCAGGTGCACACCCGAGAGGTGCACCTCACGTGGGGCCTCCCTGAGCATGGCCCGGAACACGCATCCCTGGGCTCCTCCGCCTGGGTGACACTGTGCCAAAGTTCCAGCAAGAAACAGACCTGAAGGCACCGTGTTACCTACGGGCACAGGTGGACACAAACACTTCCTGGCTCTTCTGCCTCCTGCAGGCTGGAGCCTGCGCACCTCTCTGGGCCCACCCACTGAATTCTACTGGCCAGAATAGAAATAATAACTACAGCAGAGCAGAGGAGGAAGGTGGGACAGGTGGCCAAGATGGAGAGGGAAGCAAGACCTCTGAATACACAGGGGACAGAGGAGACTGACAGGGGAAGCATCGGGACAAAGGCATGGTCCTCCCTCCCCCCTCTCCTTGCTCCTGCCCCGCCTTGCTCCTCTCCCTGCAGTTGTGGATAGAGTGGAATCATAAGTGGATCCTGGCATTGCTGGGGTTGGTTCGCAGAGCATAGTTTGTGCTGTGGATTCATGGCTAGGTAGACACTTGGGGGGTGGGGTATCCCTGGAGAAGGACAAGTTCTAGAATCAGAGGACTTACTGATCCTGCATTCAGAACTGATACCTGCTAAGATCTGACCTGTTCATCTTTACTTATTTTTTTTTAATGTTTACTTTTTTTTTGAAAGAGAGAGAGAAAGAGAGACAGTACAAGTGGGGGGAGGGGCAGAGAGAGAGGGAGACACAGAATCCGAAGCAGGCTCCAGGCTCTGAGCTGTCAGCACAGAGCCTGACATGGGGCTTGAACTCATGAACCGCGAGATTGTGACCTGAGTTGAGGTCAGACGCTTAACCGACTGAGCCACCCAGGCGCCCCTCACCTTTACTTATTTGAAGGGTAAATCTGAAATACGTGATCTACTGCTGCACCACAAGGTGTGAACTTTCATGTCAGAGCCCACACTCCACCCTAGTCTTTTAAAGAAACAGATTGGGGGCACCTGGGTGGCTTAGTCGGTTAAGCGTCCAACTTCGGCTTAGGTCATGATCTCGCAGTTTGTGAGTTGGAGCCCCGCATCGGGCTCCCTGCTGATAGCTCAGAGCCTGGAGCCTGCTTCAGATTCTGTGTCTCCTTCTCCCTCTCTCGCTGCTCCCCTGCTCACGCTCTGATTCTCTCTGATTTTCAACAATAAATAAACATTAAAAAAAATTAAAGAAACAGATTGGGCAAGGCTTTGTCAGGGCATGTGGTCAATACACTCTGCTAGTGGTAAGCCTAGCCCCTGTAGGCATTTGTCTTTGTGTCTCCTGAATTCTAATTACCTGCAGAGCAACTCAAGCCTTATGAGCCTCTCCAAGGCAACAATTGCCGCTCAGTGCTTGCAGGGTAAAATCTAGCCTGTTAGGCATGGAGTCAAGGTGGCTGAGGAGGTCTTCATGAGGAATCAGGGAAGACCTGGTTCCTCGCAGACACAGATGTGCAGAAGGAGCAATGGAGGTGTGGAGAATGTCAATGCTATAGCCCTCTTCACACCCTTGCTTTTCAAACAAAGCCCCTGGGCATTCTGTGAACATACAGCTTCTGATCTGGGAGTTTGGGTGGGGTCTGGGAATTAGCACTCCCAACAAGCTGCCCTGTGATGCTGGTGGTTCCTGCACCTCCCTCCCAAAGCAAGGATCTACCCTACATTTCTTCATCTGCTAAAGAGAAGCGTCTGCTGGTACAACCTGCCTTCCCTGGTGTTCTCAAATGTTCTCCCCTTACCTTTCCTCGAAAGTGTAAGGCTTATACGATTTTGTTATGTATATGACCTATTGATTCTGGACAAGGGGGTGTAACCAAGTGATGTGCTTGGTTCCAGGACTTTGGGAGTCTCCAGAGTCAGGTCAGGATTGGTTTGCAGCCCCAGCTGTTTCTGTGTGTGCATGCACAGGGAGCTTGCTTCACCTCGCCGTGCCTCAGCCCCTACCCAGAAAGCAGACCGCTGTTTCTACAGCCTAAGATTGTGGAGCGTTACAGGAGATAGGCCAGTGTGCCTGACACAGAGTAAGTCTTCAGTGCATGTTAATCATCGTGATCTGTGTTTTTGTCATTGTCACTTTCAGTGTTCATGGGAGTGTTCTTCATTATTGTCACGGTTTTGGTATATTATGATTTCAGTGTTTATATCACGGATAGTTATACAGTTTTATCTGTTATGTTGCGTTGCAGCCTCATTAAAACATACATAAGGAAATCTTCAAGGATAAACATCTTCAAACTTGGGCAAAGGTTGCACCAACTGACTGTCTCTTGTTACTGTCCCTGCAGCCTGCCTTGGGATGTAGGTGATGAGAGGGGAGGGGAGATGAGGGGGATAAAATTAGGAAATGTTTCATTGGGAGAAGGGATTTTTTTACCTAAATGTATTTTAATAAAACAAAATTCACATTATTGAGCTGGCCTGTAGACCTCCTCAGGATTCTAGGAGACACTGTGCATACATACATTATCTCAAGAATATGAAAGCAAGACTGGTTTCCTTCTACATTCTATATTCTTTCTATTCTGTATCCTATTCTGTATTCCCCTAGAACTCAAGTAGGGTGAGGTTTCTAGGGAGAAGTACCAGAGGATCATGATCTCTGGCCCTGCTTATGTCTCTGGTCCCAAGCTCCTCACACCCCGACCCCAGACCTATACTCTGGACCACTTCTGACCAGTTTTCATGCTCACTGTGCTCTGTCAGGCCAGCATCCGCTGAGCTTGAACAATGCCACTGATCTCCTTTCCAGCTATGGATACTCTACCACTTCTTCACAGCTCAGATGCCTGGTCACTATTGTTGCCCCTTGTAGGCACACCCAAAACATGCTGCTGGTCAGTGCAGCTTGCTGTGCTTTGGGTTCAAGTTTGTGTTCCATGCATCTCTTCTCCCCCCCTTCGCCTCTTCCTTCAGAGTTAAAGAGCAGCCCTGAGTTGAAGTCAAATCTGAGAGTGGGAAAATGGGGTTGGGAGGCATCCCTCACCCTTACTTATACTCTAGTAGCGCAACTGCCTAAGAGCCCACCTAACCCCTCTCAGAGGGGACCAGGGCAGATAAGGGAGATTTGAATGACGGTTCATGCATGGAAACACTGAAGTTTCCTTTGTTCTCAGCAAAACCAGAGCCCCTAACATGCCTCTTGCATTTTCCCTGGTGATGAACTCCAGACTTGAGATGTCAAAATAGGAAAGGAAAACACCAGACAAGACATGCTCATGTCCCCCTCTCACCTGCACCTACTCTAGATTCTTCTCCCACTGGTGGGGCCCTCCCTCCCTTTCTCAGCTCATTCAAATCTCACCCATCCTTTGATGTTAATGTCACAGCTCACCTCCTAAAGTATGTGGAGGGCTTCTCTTTGCTTCAGCAGGTTCTTCCCTCCCCTCCTCAACACCCCGGCAGCACTCAGAGCCAGAGTTGAGGGCTCCAGAAATTTCTAAACATTTGTTTTGTGCCAAATCCCACCCCCACACCGCCCCCAAGTCCATGTCAAGGGCCTTGAAAGGGAGGGAATCAAAAACCTCTTATAGTACCCACTACACTCACCACAATGAGAATTTGAGGACTGAAGGGTTGGCTCACCAGGGACAACAACTAGGACCCATCATTCTTAGATTCTAGGATCCTAAGAGTTCTCAAGTTCAAGTCTTAGAGATTTATGAATCTAAGAGTCCTAAGATTCTGTGACTTTATGATGTCATTATAATGTCTCAAGCTTTCTAAAATCCTTGTTTTCCATAAAGTGCTAAGTTTTGCAGTATAGCATCATAGTCTCAAAACCCCCGGAATCTGGGAACTCTCTGCCTTATGACTGAAAGCTAGACAGACTCAAACTGATGACAGATCCTGGAGACATTTTAGACCCAGACCATGAGCTTCATCCCTCAGAGGCTGAAGAGGCTACTGGATGAAATCCTGGTCAGGATTCTCATTAAAGACTTCTCAGCATAGGCATCGAGCTTCAGACCCACATCCCTCATCTTTAGGGTGACTTTGTAGAGTCACTTCAGGTATCTTTGCTGAAGGCTCATCTGGGGTTTCCCCAGCTGCTCTGGTCTTTGCCTGCTCCCCCAAACTCTCTGGTGCTAGAAGCTTCCACCCACCCTTCAGTGTTGGACTGAGCCTGTTGGAGATGAGGGGAAGCAACTGTGTGTGCAAAGCAGCTTTGGGAGAGTGTTTAGGGGAGACTATTTTGGCTCCCTGGGATGTCCCTACTGATATCAGAAAATCCCAGGACTCAAGGGTCTCAGGGTTTTCTCTAGAAGAGGCAATGGCACATGCTTTCATGAAGGAGAATGGAGGGAAGAAGTAGGGACAGAGCCCAGGAGTGATTTCCCAGGGGTGTTGTTTGAGTCTCAGGCTCTGGAACTGGTGCCTTCTCCTGAGGCAAATTCTTTTTCCACCCTTAGAATTGTTCCTGGAATCCCCTAGCTGCTATAGGCTCTGCTGCTTACCACAGAGACAGCTCCACAAATGGCTGTGGCTGCTGAACTGAGTCAGTGCTCACTCTCCCCGACCCCCTAACATACACAGATGCATAAACTGGCAAACTTGCTGGAGCCACAGAGGGCACAACACTGGGAAGGATGCACACAAGGAAGGTGACCAACTAACCTTCGGACTCAGCTTCATCAGTGGGATTGTTCTACCATATTAGCTCTGGAAAGGAAAGCTTTGCTGGTGTGCGGGGGTAGGGGCAGAAGTGGGGAGAGTAGGAAGGAGAGGTATAAAGGAAAGAGGGATATCTTTATTTCTATATATCTATCAACACACAGAGAGAGAGAGAGAGACTTACAAAGAGAGGTAATCACAAAGAGACAGAGGCACGTGCATAGAGACAGTGAGACAGAGAATTAGACTATGACTAATCAGAGACACAGAGAAGCACATGGTAATGTACAAGTAATAGGCAGAGAGAGAGATCGGGAGAGGGAAGGAGAAGGAGAATGGAAAGGGACCAATTTGAGGCAGAGTCCTCAGGAGCCTGTGCTGCTGGGGACACAAAGCCAAGCCTCACCTGAATCCTTTGTCCAGGGAGATGCACTTGGCCTCATGCTGACAGAGGTTCATCCCGGGCACGCAGTGGTCAATCACCTCGTCGCACAGCTCACCTGGTGGGGGTGGGTAGAAAGCTCAGGGACCTGGGAGGACCTGGGGGATACCCTGACTAGAAGGTCAGGTCCAACCAGCCCCCTGTCTGGTTGGGAGGTCATGGATCTCAGGCACCCTGCATTTGCTCTCTTGATGTATCCTTTCTGCTGTACCTCTTTTTCAGTCTCCCTAGTGGTAACAATGGGCAGGTTCTGGGATTTTCCCTGGGCACTGTCATAGCACCATCATTGGGCTGTTTCACCTGACCATTAAGGGGCTGCTGCAGCTGAAACTGTAGGACATCAGCCCCTGACTTTGGGCTGTGTTTAGTTGTTTTTTTCATTCCCCATCAATTTACTAAGCACCTCTTGTGTGGTAGACACTGTGATGGGTACTAGGGACACAACAGTGACCAGGTCTTGTCTTCCCCCTAGCCTAGTGGGGGAGACCTATAAATCAGTAGGTGACTGTAACATAGAGATGTGTGACCACAGGGATAAACTCTGTGGAAGCCGAGAGGCTTCCTGGAGGAGTGGACATGGCTTAGCAGCACAGTGCACCTGCTGTAGATAAGTAAGCACCCTGGATTTTCTCAAAGAAGAAAATATGAAAGGAATTTAATGTTTAGGTCTCTGAATACACTCCCTTTGAAATTCATCGTGCCAAGAAATGAAGAATGGGTCATAAATACCCAGGGAGGTCCTTGCATGTCCAAACTCCCCAAAGCTCATGCCATCGGAGATGTGTTTTGGGAATGTGGAGGGAAGTGAGACAGGATGGCAGGGGTGAGGGCAGTGGCAGATGCACCCCTGAGCTTTGGGTTCCCTTAAATTCCACCTGGCCAGGTGGACAGTGATATGAGAGAGGAAAGTTTCACCCATGGAATTTCTCTCAGAGGTCGGGGTGGGAATAGGGGCAGAGAAGGCTGCAGGGACAGGGCAGAGGAAGGTCCTGAGGGTGGCTGGGGAGGAGATGAATGACATCCACAGCCCCAGAGTCTGTTCTCTGCTGTGGTGGGGACAAGCCCACCCCGACCCTGTCCTCATTTTGCCAGCCTCTCAAGACCACAGAGGGCACTGTGTTCTTTATAAGCCTTTTCCTCCTCCTCACTTCCTGGAGACACCCAGAGAGGCACACAGGTGTTTGTGTGGGACTGGCAACATTTTCTGGGACAGAGAAAACCATGACAACCCATTCTCGGGTAGAGGTGCACTTCAGTCACCTGCAGACACAGGCTAGGCTATTCCACTGGGGCAGGAAACCACCTCAACAAGTGTGTCCTCAGTCTCCCTTCCACTGCCCATTTGCCCCAAAGCCTATTCTGAGTCCCTTTGCCTTCTTTTTTTAACTGCTGAGATTTTTACTGTCTCTCTTCTGGCAGTGAGCAGATCCTTCTGGACCAATGATTTGGCCCTACATGACCCCTCCTCTCATCTTAGGTAGACCAGATGCCCCTTGTGGCCGGAGGGTATACTTTAGACTTCTTGGTATCCCTGTTAGTTAATTCAGTGCTCTGTATACAGTAGGAGCATAATAAGTGTTGCCTCTTGCTACTTTAACTCTTGGCTACAACTCCTCTCTGCAAAGATGGAAGGTATAAGGGGTAAGGGAAGTAGACCTTCAGCAGATTTCCCTGCACTTTCCCCAAGCGTAAAGCCTTCTCTGGGACCCCAAGAGGTGAGGAGTAAGCAGAGCAGGTGGTTTTCTCAGTTGGTCTTGGCACGCTCCACCACAGTCCCAAGAATGTGCTTGGGGAATACATGGCTAATGGGCTTGAGGTCTGTGTCAGCCACAGGACCCTGAGGAGCAATGGGGGCTAGCTGGCTTCCTTCTCTGTAGGCTTCTAATCAGCATCTGTATATCCCATCCCCTACCTCACTCTTGACATCATGCCAGGTGCCAGCAGGGTAGGGTGTGGCAGTCCCTGGGTTGCATGGTCCTTATTTTCATCCTCACCTTAGGTTGGTATTTCCTAAAATATGTTTCTTGCAACACAGGATGTCCGGGGTTGGGAAGGAGTTTGGGGGTAGGGTAGGAGGGAAGTTCTGACTTAAAATAAATTTGAAACTTACTGGGTTAAAAGAAGTTAAACAGCATTGTTTCAAACAGGAATTGTGAAAACCTTTAATAGGCTCATTTGTATCACGTGGAAGAGAGCTAGTATTACATACAGCGTTTCCCCAACTTTTTGTTTATGGAGCCTTTTCCTCAAAGAACTCATGGAATTCCATTTTGGGATATGCCACTTTAGGTGGATCCTATAACAAAGGAGGTTGTGCTTGCACCACTGAGGTGCACTTTGCTTCATAATCTAGTGGTATATTTAACTGTCCTCATTAGGAGCTGTTAATATAGGAAATAAAGGTGTTGTGTTTTGGGGGTGGGTGGGTAGGATGATTATCCTGAGGAACAACCTGTGGGGAGCCTTCTTTTATTCCCCAGCTGGGTTAGGTTCATCCTCTGTGACCCCACCACCCCCCAGGCTTCCAGGTGTTATAGTCTCGTTCTACTGAATACATGTCTCCCTCTACTTGACAATGAGCCTTCTGATCAGAGGGGGCTTTGTCTTGGTCATTTTTGTGTCTCCAGTTCCTAGCTGGAAAGTGTCTGGAAAGTAAATTTCTAGAGAAAGCAGACTAGAACTGAATGAAGATTAAATGTAATGTAAGCCCCTTTCACTAGCTTCAATCGCCACTGGGTCTCCAGTTCCTGGAGGAGGGGAAGGCTAATGGAATGGACAGCAAACTTGCCCTGGGAACCTGTCTCAAAGTAGGGAGGAGCTAGAGACGTGCAGGGTTGGGGCAGGTGGTGAGGGTGGACAAGCAAACAGAGAGGGCCTCTGGGAAGCCCGTCATGGCACAGCACCAGGTTTTGGGGATTCACATCTCTGTCCACAGGGGAGTGGGTGCAGGCCCTGAAAACTAAGATAACAGCATTCTTTAGTGCATGACACCTGGCCTGCCACCATGCACAGGCACCAGGGGACCTTACCTGTGTAGTTAGGAGGGCAGACGCACGCGTAGTTGTTGACCCCATCCACACAGGTGGCATTGTTCTCACAGTCGTTGTCCTCGCAATCATCTGGATTGATCTCACACCGCTGCCCCTCAAAGCCCAGAGGGCAGGAGCAGCTTTGGGGGTGTGTGGGGTGGGGAAGAAGGGGAGCCAGGGAATAAGGAGTGTTGGGTGGGGTTGGAGTGGCAGAAAAGAATGTTGGGGGGATATAATTAGTCAGGTTTCTCTCTGGATGGAGGTCCGAGGCAGCACTCTGGATACTTGAAGCCTTGGGGTCCTGAGCAGGAAGACCCTCAGGAGCCCGAGAGGTCATTTCATCTAGACCCCTATCTCTGGGCAGAATTCCATCTCCCCTGGCCGTGGATGGCTCTGGGGAGTTCTCACCAGCAATGCCCCCTCATCATCCCCCCAGCTGGAAGTGCTTTCCCCGGGATAGACTTTAAATTCCTCCAGCTGTCTTCCTTCCCCTCTTCTCCGGGGAGTGGTTTGTAGACAAAGGGATAAAGGGCATAACAAACACCCCCCTTTGAGCGACTTCCTACTCCAGGAAAGCCTCTCTACCTTGAACAGGAATAGGACAAAGTGGCCAAGATCAGGATCTGCAGCCGAGAGTTTCTTGGGAATGAAGTCTGAGTCTGCCACTTCCTAGGTATTCGATCTTAGGAAAATTAGTTAAATTCTGTGTCTCAGTTTCCACATCTATGGACTAGGGTAATATCATTTACCTCCAGGTTGGTTGTGGGGAATAAAAGAAGATTATATAAGTAAAAGGCTTAGGAGGAGACCTAGTACATAGAAAAGACTCAGAATGTGTTAGCTTCAGTTCTAGATGACTTCCACACTCAGCCTCCTTAACCTTTCTCAGAGATGCCATTGTTCCCTCCAGCTTCTTCCAGATAAGGGGACGGGGTGGGAGGATCTGGAGAGCTATAGCTCTTAGATACAAACCTCAAACTTCCTGCATCCTCTGCCCAACCCTGGCCACACCCCAGGATTAGGCCTGCAAACTAAGTCAGGATAGATAAAGCTGAGCAGATGAGAAGGGGCCAGGGGAGTTTAGGAAGGGGCACGCAGGAGACAAATGCTGACTAAATGAGCTGCAGGCACTTACTTACTCCCTCTGTGGCCCAGCCCCCTGGTCAGGGATTTACACCCCATTCACGAACATACGTTCCAGCTTCAGGCCCAGAATTCCAGGCCTCTCTCTGTTTTACAGATTCCTCCGATTTGGGATTTAGCTATAAAACTAAACTAATAGGAAGTGGATTTCTGGAATCTTACTTAACCTCCTTTCCTCTACAACCTGAAAACCATGTCACATTTTCTTTTCTTTTCTTTTTTAAAGTTTTAAAATTTATTTTGAGAGAAAGAACAAGCAGGGGAGGGGCAGAAAGAGTGGGGGACAGAGGATCAAAGCAGGCTCTGTGCTGACAGCAGAGAGCCCAATTCAGGGTTCGAACTAAGGAACCATGAGGTCATGAGCTGAGCCAAAGTTGGGCACTTAACTGACTGAGCCACCCAGGTGCCCACCATGTCATGTTTTCTACAAAAGGTTCTTCAGTCTGAGCTCTTGGGGTGGAGCAAAATGATGTATTTCTTTTTTCTAGGAGGGACCCTGGAAGTTCAGCGATTTCTTCAGAGCTGGACGGACAGTAGGTTTTTAAGGGTCTGAAACCATAGTGTTGCCTGTTTTCCTGAAAGGAGTTACTCTGGCTGTCCCCAAAGTCTTAGGGTTGCATGAAAGTGGGATGTAGATGGCTCTTAGGGGTTGGGTTGCTCATGGAGTAGACAGAGGGAGGGAAGGAGACTAAAGTCTCCTCTGCCCTCCCTGGAAACCTTGGCTGGGGGTTGTCAAGGAGACTCCAGGGGCACCCAGTGAGCTGTGGGGCCGTCTTAGTCTCCTGCCCGGCCAGCTCTGCCAGTCTTTGCTCTTTTTGTGATCAGATAATGCATCAAGATGAGCAAAGCATCTGATGAAGAGGTAGGTGAAACTTCCAAAATTATCACTCACAAGACATGTTATGGGTTGAATTGTGTCCCCTCAAAAAGGTATCTGGAAGTCTTAACCCCCAGCACCTCAGAATGTGACCTTATTTGGAAATAAGGTCCTTGCAGATGTCGTTTCTCATGAGATTATACTGGAGTAGGGTGGGCCCCAGATCTACTGCCATCCTTGTAAGATGGCCATGTGGAGACAGAGACACAGGGTGAATGCCACATGAGGATGAAGGCTGCAGTGAGGAAGGCCCGAGATCACTAGCCACCACCAGAAGCTAGAAGGGGCAAGGAAGGACCTTCCCCTACAGGTTTGAAAGCCAGTGTGGCTCTGCTGACACCTTGAGTTTGGACTTCTGGCTTCTAGAAATGTGAGGGAATACATTTCTGTTGGTCCAAGCCGCCCTGGTGCGCTGCTTGGTTATGGCAGCCCCAGCAAATGGACACAGGAGGGAAAAAGGGAGCAAAGCTTCCCTGATAGGTGTCCCTCCCTTTGCCAACCTATCAGGTGCTAACCTAGTGAGGGGGAGTGCTCCTGCCCCTTGGCAGGCCCACACAAACTATGCTTTCCCCAGCATGTGGGCCTCATTGCTTTAATCCTCTACCCCATTTCCCTAATCCTGTAGATTTGGGCCCTTTTCCTTGAAAATTAAATTCTAAAAGTATTTCCAGTTCATTCAAATCTCAACAACGGAAGGTGGAAACCAGGAAGGATCCTTCTGCTCACCTGCAGTTCCAGAGACGAAGAGAGATACCCCACAAAGAGACAGAGAGTGGGGCACATGCAGAGGGGGACAGGGAGGGGAGAGACAGTCGCCTGCAGGGGGCACTCCTCACTCTTGCAGACCTCTATTTCTGGGCAGGGTGGGCAGAGCCAGGCTTTTACCCTGGAGGTGTGTTTCTTGGCTGGGGCCATGTGGCCACCTCTGTGAAATTTCTGTGTGGTTTCTCCTTAACCCTGCTCCCAGCGAGAAGGTGGGAGTGGGTGGTTTGGCCGACTCCAGGCAGGAAAGCAAAACTGGCCTTGAATTTATTTCACTTTTTAAGAGCCAGAGTTTGATGGGGCTGGCTTGGCAGGTGGACACGGGGGCAGGCTGGGCTCTGTCGGAAGAACTAGGGCCCAGAACCTGATTTCTTTCACAGACGGCACAGCAGCCCCTCCTTCCCCCCACCCAGAGTGCCTTTGCTACTTGTTTGCAACCTGTGCTCTAAGACATCCACACACAGCTCTGCACTGGGTGCCCCTGCTTTACTGCCTGACCCACTCGCTCACTGGGGTGCTAAAGGAACCAGTTTCCACAGGTCTGTTTTTGCCAGGGCCACGGGCCGGCAAGCTGGGCACGTGAAAGCAGCTGGGAAGCGGGAGAAGCAGGAAGGGAGACTGAGGTTTGGCAGAGGCCTCGAAAGTCCACCTAATTGACAGGGATGGGGAAAACTTAAGAGGCTTCTATCCCCTTTTCTTCCTGAGCTCTGAATTCCTGGGAGGAAAGCAGTGGGGTTGGAAGATCCAGGAATGTGTCAGGATATGCGACCTAGAGCAAGTAAATCTCTGTGCCTCAGTTTCCTCATCTGTTAAGTGGGGATAGTACCAGCTTGCAGTGGGTAGGCTCATTGTGAGCATTTAAATTAGAGGCTGCATGGCTAGTTCGTGCCTGGCACATGATGAACATGTAGTCAATATCACCTATGATCATTGTTTTTAGCACACAGGAAACAGAGGTGGAATTGCCATGCTGCGGGGGGCGGGGGGGTGCTTGGGCCATCATGCCATCCTTCTCTGACTTGTGCCAGCAGCTTTAGCCTCCCTCAGTATCCTCCTGGCTCTGGAGACAGACTCTCTGAATTCCCCATAGGAACGCTCACTAACTGTGTCACTGTGGGCAAAGGATAGCTCCTGTTGGTGCCTCAATCTTCTCATTTGTATAGTAGGGATCACAGTAGCTCCCTTACAGGGTGGGAAGAGCCTTGAGATGATCTGCATAACAGATTTGGCACAGTGTGGGCACATAGTAGGCCCTCAGTGAACAGCTGTGCATCAGCCTGCCCCAGTGGTCTGCCTATAAAGCCCCCTGAGGGAGGGAAGGCCCAAGGGTGAGCTGTTACCTGAACCCATCCTTGTGGCTTTCGCTCAGGTGGCAGGTGCCTCCGTGCTGACAGGGGTTCTGGATGCAGGTGTTGATAGGCATAGCGCAGTCTTTGCCCTGAGGAACAGGAAAGGGAGAAGCACCTGGTTAGGGAGGCTTTCGGTGGCTGCCTTGACCAGGAGGCCCCCTGGAGTTCCCAGCATCCTCTGGGATGAGGCCGGGCAGAAGGCCTCTCTGTGGCCTCTGCTGTGTGGCTTGGAGGACGCCAAAGGGGGCCCTTACTTTTGGCCGTTCCACACTGAGAGAAGGTTGAGAACTGAGGAGTTCAGGCCCCAGCTTCCCTACTTCCTGGAATTCACATCCTTTTCTTTATCCTGAACTGCAGGGCAAGAGCATGGGCTTTGGGTACAGGGAAGCCTGGTTTCAAATTCCAGCTTCATCTCTTCCTGGTTGGCTGGCCATGACCTCATCTAAGCCTTTTAACTCTCAGCCTACCTCACAGAGCTACCTAGCAGAGGACACGTACTCTTAGCTGCACTGAGGCCTCAATATAATCCACAACTTGAGTAGGGAGGGCTGGGGCTGAAGTGTGGCCAGAGGACCTTGCCCCTATAGGGTGACAATTCCACAGAGATCTACCTTTAATTGGTCTGGAAGTGGGCCCAGGTGTTGGTATTTAGAGTTCTGCAGGCGATTCTAATGTTAGGCCAGATTGAGGACCTCTGGGACAGACAATTTTGTGTGGGGTGGCATTCCTCGGGAGCAGGACGTTTCAGCTGAGGAGTCAACTGCAGTAGGTGGGGAGGAGCATGCCAGGCAGAAGGACAGTGAAGATGAAGGCACTGAGGAGGGAGGCCAAGGCAGAGGCTGTGGACATTAAGACCGGGGAGCAGCCCGCTGGCCCTCTGGCTCTAACTCCCCCCTCCCCTGGGACCGACACACCAGCGCTACACCCAAGTCTTGGCAAGCAGTCCCTTAGAGGACCTGCGGGGTCTGGGGAGGCATCCGTTGTTATTTGTTTCTGGGCTGTGGACTTGGTGTGGGCACCATGCCAGGTGGGGGTGATCACGGGAGCCCTCCCACTGCCATACCACCTGCTCGCCATCTGCTTGAGAAAATCCTCTTCCCGCCTCTGCTGCTGCCAGTGCCTGTGACGGAGTGGGTCTGGGCTCCCTGGCTCGAAGGTCGCTGCCAACTGGGCCTACGACTCTCCCTACTGTCTCCAACCCTGAAGCCCTTGCAGTATCCAGCAGCCAGGAGGCATGGCCACGTCTGTCTTGGCTCCCTTCATGCCCCCTCACAGCTAACGGCCAGTCAGAGTTTTCTTGAGGGGGAGAAGGAGAATGCAGTTTGATGTGGGATCTGGGCTTATCCTAAACCAGAACAACACGGGATCCCTTACACAAAGTCATTGCATGCAACGGAAACTGCAATACTCATTCTCAATTTATTGAGAACATTTTCCATTCCAGGCCTCACGCTAAGTGTTTTATATTCACAATCACATATAATGTTCACAACAACCCTATGCGATCGGTAGGATTGTTATTACTGCCCTTTTCAGATTGGGAAGGCAGACTTGGAAAGTGAGCTAATATGTCCAAGATTGCACAGCAGTTAAGTGGAATAGGCAGCAGCTGAACCCAGGCATCCAGTCCAGAGCCAGCACTGGGAACCCCTCTGCCGGGTCACTGATGTTGCCCTCTCAAAACATGGGCTCCAGGGGTAGCACATTGGAGCACACACTCCAGTCTGGCTGCTGTGTGCCTTGGGGAAACTACCAGTTCTCTCTGAGCCTTGTTTTTATCATCTGTAAAATGGGAATAATACCTATCCTATGGAATGAATATTAGAAATCACACATATATAAAGCACAAGGCATGTATGGTAGCAACCTAAATAAGAGCTATTCGGATGATGAGGAGGTGGATTACTACAGGGGTCTGAGGCAGGGCTGAATGTGGGAGCTCAAAAGACTTTTTTCAGGCATTTGGTTGGTACCGAATTGTTCAGGAGTTTTTGTGTGTGTTAGATGGATGAGCCACGAAGAGCAGGACAAGAGAACTTGATCAAGTCAAGGCAGGGCCTCCCTGGCCCCTGCCTGGGCCAGCCTCTTTGCTCTGGGGGAACTCTTGAGTATCAGGGACTCCAGCTGGGATCTTCCCCTGGGGGTGGGGTTGGTGACATCTACTCAGGTCACTTATACTGAGCTCAGAAACCAGGAGGCAGACCGTAGCTCTTGGTGATGTGCTAAATGGGCCTGGAGGTAAGGATTTCTGTCACTTACGTGTCCTTGAGAAATAATCACCATTCTCAATACCTGGCTAATTAGCTCAATTCAACTCTCTTCAGCCTCATTTTGCTAAAATCTACTAGATTTATGATGTTCCTTGGTCCCCACTGCTGTGTGTGTGTGTGTATGGGAGAGAGAGAAATAGAGAAAGAGAGAAAGAGAGAGGGAGGGAAGGTGGGAGACAGGGACATGGCTGGGGCTTCTGGCTTCTTTTAAAGGAGCCAGGGAGTAGCTGTCCCTGTTGGAAACCTCTTTCTGAGACAGCCAGGAGGGCTGCTCCAGGACCTTGCTACTCAGAGTGTGGTCCTCAGGCTAGTAGCTCCGGTGTTCCCTGAGAGCTTGTTAGAAAGGTACAAACTTGGGCCTGACCTCAGATCTAATGGATCAGAAGCTGCATTTACTAAGACCTTCAGGTAGTTCTCGCGCCAATACAGCGTGAGAAGCACTGCGTGTAGACACTGAACATGCACACGTGAAGCTAAATGGCTGAAAAAGAACGAGCCCAAACATACACCTTATTTCCCCCAATGCAAAACAGCTGTAAAACAGGTCTCTCTGTGAAGTGCCTACTGAATCCTGGCACCAAGGCGGGCGAAGCACAAACATGACACTCGGAATCCTTCTAGGAGCTCTGCAGGTGAGTGTGATGCTTCACATCTCCAGGTGGGGAGTGAGGCTCTGAGGGACCTGGTCCCTAGTGGAGCACTGAGTGTGGGGACTTTCCTGTGAGAGAGGAGGGCTCTGGGTTTAGTTTGTGTGCTTCCCTAGGTGTGGAAGCTCGGGTAAGTTATCTGATCTTTTTGAACCTCAGTTTCCTTATCTGCCAAAAGAGGTTAACAGACCTTATTTCAGAAGGTGACTGAGGGTGCTAAATGAGGTAATGTGCTCAAATTGCTTCACAAAAGCCTGCCATTATAGATGACCAGTAGCTGCCACCAAACACTGAACAGTGGGGGCCATGCTGTTTTGGATAATATTGTGGCTTCCCAAGGTCACTCAGCTAGTCAATGGAAACGCTGCGGTATCTGGAAATAAATGGAGAAATGCCAGAACTTTGAACTTGGTTTTGTGGGTGTCTGGTGATTATTGTCAACTTAGCAACTCATCCAGAACTTACTACCTCAGTCACTCTGCCTGGGTGGGCTCCAATCCAGGAAGAAGGGAAAGCCAAGGAATAAATGCAGAGCAGGGGGTATGATGCAACCCAGGGTTAAAGGTTAAAGGACCTCTTCGTTTCTACCTGCTGCATTTTGAGATTGAACCTGATACGGGGAGGAGAGGAGGAGCTGTCCCAGGCCACACAGTCAGGTAGGGACAAGCTCCACAGTGTTCTTTCCATTCTGCTTGGTGTTCTTTCCACCAGCATAAACTACTTTCCCTATTCTGGAGACTTAGGTCCCAAATGGCTAGGGACCCTGCATTCATGGTGCTTCTCAATGGACTGTGAATACAGTGGTCAAAAACATGGGTTCTGGAATCCATTGGTTCTGAGCTCTGAATACCAACTCCCTCACCTACTATCTCAGTTTCCTAAACTGGAAAATGAAGGTCATTTTAGGACCTGTCTCCTTAGGCTTTGATGAGGAGAATGCAGGATAATGCTTGTACCTTGTTTAGTATACTGTCAGTACGTAATAGGCACTCAGTAAATGCTGGCTGCTCATATTCCTTCACCATCACCACCATCATCACCATCACATACCATCACCACCATTATCATCCTCCTCCTTAAGGTACTCCAGGCCTGCATGAGCCCGATAGCTTCGTAAAGGTCAAAATCTCAGTTCAGATTCTTCTGCTAGACCTTCAGAATCTTACGAGCAAAGTCTGAACAAGTGGCCTTATCTTTCAAATAGGGATGATCCCGCCCACCTCAAAGGTTGATTATACAACTCAGAGAAGGGAATAAATGCCAATGTCCAGCTGAGTGCCTGATCCACAGTCGACGCATAGGTATGGTATTGGGGATGTTATAAATGCACATATCACCGTTCCAGGAGAGCAACTGATGATCTCTGGCAATTCACAGTGTCATGGGCTGAGAATCCCTAGTGAGACCAGCAGCATACTGCCTGTTAATGGCGGCCCATCCATATCCTGGTATCAGGACCAGCATGCAAGGGTAAAGAGAGATGTAGCAATGTGCCAGTGTACAGAGTGCATACTGAACAGCTGTCCTAGGTGCCTTGCATATGTTATTGCACATTTGATTCTCACAGCACCCCTGTGAGATAGGCCCTGGTTTGTCCACAGGAAGGCTGAGGCAAAGCCACTGGCCATCACCACATAGCTAGTAAACAGCAAAGCTGGAGTTCACATGTGCCCTCTGTATAATTCCACAGCCTGAGTTTTCTCCACTGAATTAATACAAGTGGGTTTGAGGAGCTAGGCCTCCTGAGTATGGTATCTTCACTTCTACACTTCCCCTGCAATGTCTGTGCGTGTGCACATGTAGGATGCATGGATCTGGGGTGGCTGCCTGGGGCAAGGCCGTCTGGCTGGCTGGCTGCAAAGGGAATCCTTGGGCTCTCCTATGGCAGGCCCATAGGTGGCACTCTGACACTATCTGCTGGAGGCACAGCTACAGCTGAAAAACCACCAGGGAGCCCTGTTCCCCAGAGTGATTCTGCCCCTCAAGCTTGTCACTACACATACAAGTCCCCCTGGGGACAGGAGACCAGTGATGCCAGCTCCCTTCCGCTCTGCCTGTACTAGGCATGTGCAGTAGATGGGTTTTGGGGTGGTGTTGGAATGCTTGGCTTGCCCACTGTATGCGGATGGGTGCCTTGGCGAGGCTGGAAGCTGGGAAGGTCCTGGGGAAGAGGAGTGAACCACTGTTTTGTTGACCCCAGCGAGCCACGGCGGAGGGCTTGGCTATCCAGGAGTAAAGGTGGGGACTTTGGAATCATATAGCTCTTGGTCCTATCCCAACCCTACTGCTTATGAGCTTTGAGACACTGAGTCAAGCCTTTTCAACAATCTGAGGCCCAGTTTCCACATCTATAAATGGGAAGTAATGAGCCTTCCTCATAAGGGGTATTTAAAAAGAAAAGGTGAATAGGATGTCAAGCAGAATGTTGGCCATGTAGTCCATACTCTATAGATGTTAGTAGGGACTTAGGATAGATAGTGTTGGGTGAGAAGAAAGGAAGAAAAGTTGCTTTGGAATTAGCCTGGATTTCTGGGGAGGACACCCAGGAGAACGAGGGTCTCCATCCCCTTCCTGGCTGACCTGAGCCTGTCAACAGTGCATTAGCTTGGCAGCTCCCAGGCCTTTCAATCCCTCATCCCTGTACCTTCTCAAACTGGAGCCCACTTTCAGCACTGGCCCTCCTGAGGCAGAGTTAGGGAGGGGATGGGGAGAGTCTGGAAATCCCCTTGAAAGGAAGCCAGGATAGTAAGTTCAAGGGATGCCTCTACTTGGAAGCATTTTCACTCTCTGAGACTTATTTCCTCATGTTTAACAAGGAAAATATAAATATTACATTTCCTCCTTAGAGTGTCACTGCCAAGATGGGGTTCTCTGTGTTTTGCATGAGTGTGACACAACTGGGCAGCCCCCGCCAGTAGAATAGCAGTGTTACTGGCAAGTGCCAAGTGCCACTCTGGAGTGACCTGTGAAATGCAGTTCTCCAGGCTGCCCTTGGAGAAGGGAGGGTCAGCAGGGCACAGTGCCTTCCTTGGGCCGTGAATGGTGGGGGCGGGGCTTCCTATCTTACCTTGTAGCCATAGGGGCAGGTGCAGTGGTAGAGCTCCACAGGATCCTGGCTGCACGTCCCATTGTTCTTGCACGGGTCTGAGAGGCAGGCATTGCACTTGGCCACAATGTTGATGTCCACTGGCCCTGGACAGCAAAACCAGGATGTTGGTAGCAGGTCACTGTCACCCCTCCCTCCCTTTCCCTCCTCTCTGGCCCCTTCCTCAGCCAGGTGCCGGCCCCTCTCCATCTCTACACACAGAGGGTGGCTCCCCAGCCAGCACCATCCAGTCTAGCTGAGTCCCATTAATGCAGCCATTGTCCAGTGAGGAAAAAATCACAGTGGGACATCATTCAGAAGCACTTCTGCAGTCAAATAAATTACTGTAATTAGCCTGATCCGATTTTGGAGCTAATCTATAAACAATACACCATAATTAGAAACCCCTTGTGTATCTTTTCATGTTCGGGGAGCTCTGGTCCCAGGCTCCATTTGGACCTCCCACTCCTCTGCCCCTAAACACCCCTCCCCATGGAATAGTCTATGCTAGGCTAAGGAAGGCAGGGTGCCTGGGCCAAAGACACACATAGGAAGTCCCTCTTGTGGAACCCTTGATTGGCAGGAGGAAGTAAGAAGTGGCCCCAAAAGACACAGCAATGATATTGTTGACAGATGGTAAACTGTGCTCAGGCACACTGTGCATCTATGACAGTTTTGACAGTGTCCTGTTCTCTTCAGCTACAAAGGCTGGAGGGATGGAGGTCATGGTCCTTGAACAGAGCTTTGGAGATTGGGTTGAGAATGACCCCAGGGCAAGTCTGACCATTTGTGGGTGGGGTGAACAGAAAGGATGGCCTAAGAATCTGTACAAGCTGGCTTAACCCTGGCTTCCATTAGAACAGGGACACTATCTGTCCTGTTTGCCAGGGGCTGAAGGGATTCCCAGGACACAGGACTTTCAGTGCTAAAACCAGGAAGGCCCCAGCCAAACCGGGATGAATTGGTCACCTTACAGAGGAAACAGTGAAGGTGCTTTTAAATATCTTCAACACGGCCAGGCTGTACCCCACACTGATTTAATCAAAACTTGGAGTGTTGGGCCAGGGAACCAGTAAAAAGCTCTGCAGGTGATTCCAAAATGTGCAGCTAGGATTGAGAAACATTGTTTTAGACTGATCTGGGCCTCTTTAGCATCAATCAAGTGAGATGACTTGGAAGCAGGAGGAGAAAATGAAAAATTATCTTAAAGCCAAAAGAATGTTTTCCTGCTTTAAGCAGAAATGTGAGACACAGGAAGTTTATAGGGTAATCAAAGTATATATATATAAATCAAAATAAACTCAAGGCTCTAAGAGATGGGCAAAGGACACTACCAGACAAATGTATGACATAAATGGAAAGTAAATTTTTGAAAAAAATGCAGTTTCCCCAATAAGCAAAGACACAAAATAGGAGACATACTTTTTTAAACCTATCTAATTAGCAATGAGATGAAATGAGATAAAATAATGTAAGAGTCTGGTGAAAAATGCACTCAAATGGTGCTTACTGGGAGCATAAAGTGGTTTATAACCCTCTTTTAGACACCAAATGGCAGGGCAATATGTGTAAAGACCTTAAAAATGATCACATATTTTGGCTCAGTAGTTTCTGTTCTCTGAATCTTATCTAAGGAATAATTTTCAATAGAGAAAGACCTTTATGCATCAGTGGTAAGAAAACAACTGGAAATACCCAGTGAAGACTAAAGGCTCAGGGCCAGGAACTGGCTAAAGACGTTACGGTGGAATTATTAAAGCCTGGTGGCCACAAGTAGGTACAGGGGAATCAGAAAGACCTGGAATCATCCTAACTGTGGACTTGAGAAGTCCCTTAACTTCAGTAAGCCTCAGCTTTCTCATTCTTAAGAATAAGGGTGATACTGAAGTCTAACCCAGAGAGGGTTGGGGAACTGAATAAATACTTGGAAAGTGAGAATTAAATGACATAACACACAAAAAAGTGCTTAACATGATGTCCAGCACATAAAAACCCAGTAGCAGTTTGTTGTCGTCAGTTAAAATCTCATGTACCTAAAGCTTGCTGTAGTAAAAATGGGAAAAGGCTTAGGTTTTAAGAATGTTGGGTGAAAAAAATGCAAGTTAAAGATTTTTCTCTGTGCAAAATGATATAGAGAATGAAGTCAGAGAGGAGTATGTAGGGATGCCAGCAGAGAAACTTGGAGGAGATAACAGCATCTGAGTCTCTCTGTGCAGCTTATAGAAGAGACAGGGCAGTGGTTTAGAAGTCACGTCTGTTGAGACACCCAGGTCTGGTGGGCTGTTGGAGACAGAGCAGACCCCTCGAGAGGTGGGGGAGAGTCAGCATGTACCTTTGCACTGGAATCGGTAGGTGGGGGTGGTGAGCAGGAGTCTGTCAGCCATGGACTCAGGGCTACTGCAGCGGGCGATGCCAGGCTCCTTGTACCCTGCCTTCACCCACTCTGACAGCCAGCGCAGACTGCAGTCACAGTGGAGTGGATTGGTTCCCAGCGCCCTAGGAGGCAGAGCAGGAAGTCAGGGCCCCCCTTGCCCAGCTTGGCCCATAGGCTCCATACCCTTGGCCCTCTGGAGAAACAGAATTTTCAGACTCTGACTAGATTGGGGGTATCTGACATGAGGACCAGCAGAGAAGGAGTTTCCAGGAGGAGAAGGATGGACCTTTGGCCATCTGATTATCTGGCTCCCTTGCCCTACTGAAGGGTCCACTGAAGGATGCACTCTTCAGAGAAGGCTTTGATACACAGCAACCTAGGGAGAAGCTTCAGGCCACAGAAACGGTTCAGAGCACTCCACCCCTAAATATGCTGCTTTGGCATATTGATTATTTCAAGCTAAAGGCACTTGAAAAATGGCAGGTGCAGAAGGGGCTCTCTGACCTCCCTGTCTCTACCTAAAAGCAAGCCAGAAAGTTTCCTGTGAGAAAGATGCCCTCCCTGCACCAAGAAGGGAAAAATATTCTTATCACTAGAGACTGGGAATGAATACTAAAATGGACCAGGCCAAACCTACCTGCTCAAATAACCTTGACCTTCCAGTGGTCCCTCTCCATATATTTCCTAGTCACTGCCGCACAATTGCTGCCCTAGCCCAAGGCCCTTTGTCTTGTCACATCCCTACAGTTTATCATTCCTTGTATAAAAAAGTATATAAGTTTTTGGGTCCAATGGCTTCTTTGGGTCTTCATTTTCCATTTGAACACTCCCACATACACATAAAAACATCAAATATATTTATATCCTTTTCTCCGGTTGCTCTGTCTTATGTCAGTCTAATTCTTAGACCAGCCACAGAAACTAAGGGGGTAGAAGCAAGTTTTTCCTCCAGCTACACCACTTAGCTTTAAAAAAGCACAGCTGGGGGACGGCATGGGCTGATGCAGACCTCTCAACAGTGGTGTCCAGAGAGAAAATACAAGGATTTTTGCTTATTTTAAAAATCGTATCATTTAGAATTTCTATTTTTTGGATGTTTTATAAGGTGTATGCATAATGTATCAGTATCACAATATATGCATGCAATCTGAAAACAATCAAATATACATAGAGTTGTATACATATAGACTCAGAAATGTTCCTGGCAAAGGTTTGTAACACCTAATTTTTACAGACCTCGGTTTCCCCTGTGTGCAATGGGGACAGAATCCCTGATGCAGAGTGGCAGAGAATATGTGCTTTGGAGCCAAGGAAGACCTGGGTTGGAACCAGGGCTCTGCTGCTTACTAGCTGTGTGACCCTTGGACCAATTCTTTGGTTCTTTCTCCATTTAAGCTTCACTGTGTAAGAAGGGGATAAAAATGCTTTATTGCTATAAGAAGTAAATGAGATAATTCATCTAAAGTGTTTATCACACAGTAAGAGTTTTATGTTAGTTCTTCTTATTAAACATTTACATTGTTTACATAATTGATGATGCCTTTGAAGGCATCTGAAGTAGAGAACACACAACGTGCACAACGTGGGCACATTTTCATGGAACATACCCTATGCATACGGAAAGAATGAATACTGAAATGTTAACAGTCACAGCATCATCTCTGGCACTCTAATGATATTGCATTTTGAATGGATCCACACCAGGCAGAAATATGGCTACTTACAGATGGGAAAGAGATGTCAGGTCACTGAAGGAGCCTTCGGGAACGCTGGAAATGTCGTTGCCATGGAGGGTTCTGAAGCAGAAACACAGGTCAGAGGTTAACCCCCCAGTAACAGTTCTGAATTCAGTACATTCTTGGGGTCCCAGGCTGGCCCAGATGCCTTTCAGCTGTGCTCAGAGCCCCAAAGCTCACAGTGGGGGGGGTGTGTCCTCCTTCTCGGCAGGTGTGTGAATGTTTCCATGCCCAGCTCAGCAGTGGGGATGTTGGGGGTAGAGGGTGTGGGAAAGAAGAGGATGGGTTTTTGAATCTGACAGGCCTGGGATGGAATCAGAAACCAGCCCCTGTTAACTGTGGAACATTAGGTAAGTTAACTTTACTCTTCCCAGCCTCCGTTTTTGCACCTGAAGCATGGAGAGAGATACCCAACAGAGGCATCCGAGAGAGAATGTGAAGAACTGGCTGAGACTATGTTGTAGAACCAGGCTGCTTGCGTTCAAATCCTGACTCTGCCACTTACAAGCTGTGTGACTGTGGCCAAAGTTATTTACCTGTCTGTGCCTCAGTTTCCTATTGTAAAACGGGAATAAAAGTAAAAAGATTTGTCATGGAAGGTGGTTGTGGGTGCATTAATCCATATAAAGTCTGGCATTTTCTACACGCTGAATGACTAGCCATTATCAATATTTGTGAAAGGGTCTCAAAGAATGTCTGGCCCAGCCAGATCAATAAATTAGTTCCCTTCATATTCACCTAGAGAGATTCTGGGAAGATTGAGAAATGTTACCAATCCCAGCTTAGGTGATAGATGGGGAGAGCACTCAGGTCCTGGGGAGACTGCCTGGGTCTGGACCCTCATCTTTATGGGGAAGGGTTTGGGCCACACACGTATGTATCTGGCACTGTGTGCATCTGAGTGCATTTTCTGACTGTGTGTCCAAGGGGCCAGGCAACCTACTTGGTATTAATTATACCTCTCTCCACCCTGTGGTATAGGGGCCGGGAGCTATTCTCACTTGCAAAGTGGTGGCATATACTGTCCTTCCAATAAATGCCTGGAGAATAGGTCCATGAGAAAAATACCAAATGAACATTGCTCCAGTGCTCAAGTAACAATGCTAGTAAATCCTCAATTCATGGATTATACCCTCCTTTGAAGAATTAAGCCTCAACTGCCTACAAAAATATCCCCACACCGATGACTCACTTTGGGTCTGAGCTGTGAAATGCAAGGTAAGTGAAATTCATAGACACTCAAAGCCTTCTTTAGTGACTACTGCTCACTGTCCCCTGTGCTGTGAAGGAACCCTAGTAAAACAAAGGGGTGATTAGAGTTGACTGGGGAAGTGTAAACAGGATAATAACTAATGAATCTGTCCTTTTGTTTTCCTTTTGGCTGATGTTAGCCTGCCCTGGGTTTTGAGCTGAAATACAGACAGGAGCTTAATTACATGTAATACAGACTGAGTGCTGGAGCCAACACATGGGTGGATTTCTGACACCCATTCTCAGGGACCCTGGTTCAGTGGGTCTGGGGTGGGGCCTGAGACGCGGCATTTCTGACCAGCTCCCAGGTGATGCTGATGCTCTTGGTCCTCCGGACCACATTTAGCTCTCCCAGGCTGTCATCCTCATCACCTCAAGCTCCTTGCCCTTCTCGCTCCCCAGGACAGCAGGAAGAAGGTAACCAGTCCTCTAGAGAGTGTTGGAGGTAGCTTCTCACCGGCCTGCGTAAGAAGGAGCTAGAAGTACTTCCTAACACTTATCAGTATCATTTAGTCTCGAATGCACGTGGTTATTTATGAATCACACCGGCTCCTGCCTGCTATTAGCTTGGATGACTTCATGGCTGCTCGCTGTTTGGCAAATGCACCCGGCCCTGTTGTTAATCATTTCTGAATGAGGCCTGGGCCCCTGGAGAGGCACGAAGCCCTAATTTAAAAACACCAAATGACCCAAAGGCAGCTTTGGCGCTGTGACTCCTGTAAGTCACGCTCCCATTTATTACGAGCTGAGCCGCTGAGATCTCCATAAACTGCAGAGTAACTGGGGCTGTAATTTACTGGGACAACGCGAAAAGAAATCTGCCTACACTGCAGGTTCTCTCTCCTGGTTTGCCCCCAAAGAAAGACTCTTGCGTGTCCAACCACCATCCTAAAGGATGCCAGGGAAGTGGGACAAAGGTTCCCTCCCAGGAAGCACTCCCTCCTCCCTCCCCCACCGCTGCTTTTCCTCCCCTTTCCCCTTACACCTCATGGGGCTGGTGATGGCAAGCAATTTCCAACTCAGAATGACCCATCTTCAAGCGCCTGGGACTCCTTTTCCCCGCTGACTCTTAATAGGTGTTAAAGCAAACTTGGGAATGTTGGGATGCGGATGAGGGCATCATTTAGAGCAACATGAAGGCAGAACCATCTCATGTTAATTCTGGGTTGCCTGAACCTTGGGTCTCTGGATCCCCAGGTGCTCATAGAATGTGTATATTGCACAGGCGTTCCAGTGTGTATGATAGATGGCAGGGAAGATCCTCATCCCAGATGTGGGCTGGGGTGGGTGAAGTCTCTTTTCAGCGGGCTAGGTCACTCCTAAGGGTTAAATGACCCTGGATCAGACCTCCTGGGTGTGAGTCATTGCCGGCTGTGTGATTATCTGATTCAACAGACTCAATCTTTCTGTACCTTAGTTTTCTCATCTCTAAAATGGGAGTTCTCAGGATCCACTTGCAGTAGATATCTTTTTAGGAATGTGGATTAATTGGCACCAATCTCTCTTCTGTAACAGTTCCTCCCTTTTCCAAGGGGGACTCACCCCTCCCTCCCCTCAGTCCAACTGGTTTGGTCTCAGGGGCAGAACCATGGCCCAGGTCAGCCCAATCAGTCACTGAGACTGGTTTGAGGCTGAGCAGGTGACCTAAGTGGGCCAGTGAGATATTTCTGGGACTTTCTCTGGAACTATTAGGACAGAGGCAGTTTTGAGAAGCAGAAAGAGGCACATTTCTGATACCACTGGAAGTCCCTGCACCCAGCCCTAGAATGTAATATCTACTACTGAAGTTTTCAGTAATATGCTTTGATAAATTGTCTTCATGCCTAATGTGGTTTGAGCTGATTTTCCTATCCTTCAGCCAGGAAGGGATCTAACGTACCGCTTCATAAGCTAGTTGTGAAGCTTAAAAGACACAATGCAAGTGGTTCAGATGGCGCAGGGCTACATGCAGGGCCTGTACTTGATGCACACTCCTTCACGTGAGCTGCGGCCATGGCTAAGGTCACCATGACTCCTTCCCCTCTAGGTTCTGGGTTGTGTTCTGGGGCTAGTCCTCTCAAAGCCTTCCCCACACACAGAGGGGAAGCCTGAAGCTATGCAGCGTGTATGTCCTGTGACAGACTCCAGGACTGGAGAAGAGGAACACTGGGTTTCGGCAGAGTGACCCCGTGCCTGTCACCTTCCTGTTCAGGTGTCTTTCCACCACATTCCTTAATTCTCATCAGAGGCATCTCTGGGCCACATCCTTCTAATCCTCAAGAAAAGTCCGAAATGGGTGGCAACAAAAAGAGATAATCTCTGGTGGGAAGGATGGAATGTGGTGGAAAGAGCACTGGGCTAGGAGCTGGAAACCAGGGTCCAGCCCTGCATCTGCTCCCACCTTGTGGCATGTCTGCAGCACAGCTTCCTGCTCCCATTCCCAGAAGCCACATCCATCCACACCTGTAGCTCCTTGTGGTCCCTATGCACATGCCCTTCCTGACTTCAGGGACTCTGTCTAGGGAATTTATATTCTCCCTGCCTAGAATATTCTCCACTCCCATCACACAGGTAACTCCCCCTGCCTAGAATATTCTCCACTCCCATCACACAGGTAACTCCCCCTGGCTGCGCAGACTCAGCCTTGGGAGTACAAGCTCAGGGCAGTGATTCTAAGAGCCAACAGTCTTGGGTTCAAATCCCAACTTTACTCTGTAGTGGTTACATCCCTTTGGCAAAGTGACTCAACCTTGCTGAGCCTCTGTTTCCACGTCTGGGGAATAGGGCTAATAGTGGTACGTTCTTCCTAGGGTTGATATGAAAAGTGGATATGATATGATAATGTAACTAAAGTATGTATAGCCCAGTATGTCGTACATGGTCAAGGTTTAATATATGTCAGTGGTGATTACCATCTTTGTCTCAGAAAGCCTTTTTGAGGGCCCACACTGGGTCCCATGGCTCTCCCACAGGTATGGCCATGTGTGGCAGTAGCTTACATACTTGTCTGTTTCCTCTTCTAGACTGTGAGCTCTCTGAGGACAAGAACTTGTTTCATTATTTTCCTGTCTAGTGTTTAGCATTGAACCCACAATTGGCATTTAGAAAATAAGTGAATGATTGTGGGCAAGTCACTAAACCTTTTTGAGTGTGTCTCCTTACCTTATAAATGTAAGGTTTGGATAGGATAATTTCTAACACTCACTTCCCATTTCTAAAATTCACAATTAATTCTATTTTTTGGTAGCACCAAAGGGCCAAACCGGGACCAGGGTTTAAGTCCCTAAGGAATCACCTTTTGGCTTACCAGAATTGTCTAATGTTCAACAGCTGGTCAAAAATGGAGTGGGATTATCTGGGAAGGGAGCAGGCTCATGGTATCTAAACATAATCAAGCAAAGGGCAATGGAGCCCTCTGTAGGGATGCTGTAGGGAGGATCCATGCAATCGGTAGAGCAGGGAGAGATGAACAGCCCCATATACATAAATAGTAAGCATAATCTTACTTCAGGGATGAGGGGTTAAAAATACTGAGGATGATGAATGAAAATCCCACCCCACATCTCTTGAGCACACACTGAAATAGCCCTCCCACAGCTAACTGATTCCAGGTGGCCCTCCTGTGGCTGGGGCTGGGGAGTGACAATTGGGACCACACACGCACAAGGCATGTGGCTCGGTGTGGGGCAACGATCAGGGAACACACAGATCCCTGAAAAGAAGAACTAGAATGTCCATGAGAATGTTCCCTTCTAGCTCTTTTTCGATTAAGAGCAAACTGGTAAATCTCACATACTTTCACCCAATGTTTTGTACTCAGGGGTCCCTGATAATCCTCCTGTCTCAGAAATGTATTCATACATATCTACTCACCAACACACACACACACACACACACACACACACACACACACACACACTCACTCACTATTAAATGTCAGGTCTTTCTAGAATACTTTTTGGCCTTTGTCTATGGCTAAACCTGATACTCATTCTCTTCCCCCATCCCAAACTGCCTGCATCCCTGACCTCTGGTCATTTCTGAAATTTTCACTAAAATAATGAAACCCTTTAGAATTGAGAAAAGAATACACGAATGCTCAAACGCAGTTGTAGATACTCATTCAAAAAAACCTACCTTTCCCCCCTAACCCTCTAAATTGTGACTATCCTACTATATTCAGTCATCTTTAACTTTGCCTTCTTTTATTACATAAATAACTTCACATTAGCAGTTCGCTATCAATGATTTTTTTAAAAGTTTCCTATGTTCCTTTAGAACTTCATAATTATAAATGTATGCAAGTAATAATTATAATGTAAAAAATTAGGTTTACTTTTCCACATAAGGCCGTGTGGTCAACACTTCCCCACACTGCTACCTAGTTTTCGTCTTTACCTCTTTTAATAATTGCCTTTCACTGACTGGCTGCATTATGCTTTCCTTAAGCATTTCCCCACTGTGGCACTTGTAGGTAATATTTAAAATGGAGGTTAAAAATAACAGAGCAACCAATATTTTAGCACAGAGAATCTTTCTCTCATATCGGATTATTCTTAGGCATAAATTCCTAGATGTGCAATTACTGGGAGAAAGGATACAAATATCATAAAAGAAACGTACTCCATAAACATTTTTATTTTTCCTGAATTGGCCTTTATGCAGAAAATAGTTGCTCCCCACTGAGGTAGGTGGTTGGAATGAGGGCCTCTAAGACCCTTTTTTATCTCCAAGAGCCCATGATTCTACAATGATGATGCTAAAAGCCTACTAATTCTTAATTCAAGAAGCAAGCACAAGCACATGGTATGCTGAGGTGTGCTCCTGGTGGACTAATGACAGTGATCTGGAACACGGCGGACAAGGTGCCTAGGAAGCAGAAAACCTGGTGGTGTTCATGCCAACACCATGGGAGACCCGACAAATGGACAGGCGAGCATTCTCCACTGTCCTCCCTTTCCTGTGCTGAGCTGCCCCGCCAGAACTACAAACATATACACACGGGTCCCAGGAAAATTGTCAGGCCCAGCCCCTGGGAGCAAACCCATGCATAGAACCAGAAGACCAGGATGGGAGACAAGGTGGGACTAAGGGAGGATGGTGGGAAGTGGGAGGGGGGAGCAGGTCCAGCCTCAGCCCCGGCCAATGAAACAAGCCCATCTCCCGTTGTGTTCAACTGGAAACAGGGAAATGGTTCTGCTGATGTTTCCATTCTCAAACTCCCCAGAGAAGGTGGATAATAAATAAGTGACAATAACAGATTGCGCACTGTCAGCGCGGGCACTTCTTTGCCTCCAGAGAATTGATTTTTAATAACAGCGCAGATGACATGTGGCGGGAGTTGTCGCTGACACCAGTGTTTTGTGGGCTTCGATAAATCACATCAGCCTGGAGGCTCTGAAATGGACAGGCTCATTGGGTGCTGTTTGCTGGTTGCTACTGGGTCCTGAGAAGGGTCCAGGGCTCTAAGTCAGGAGGCTGGATTCTGCAAGCTCCTGACTGCTGGATTTTGGGCCAGTTACAACCTGGGCCTCAGTTTTCCCATCTTTAAAATGGGCCTAATCCCCTCAGTCTTACAGCACTGTTGGAAAGGGTTATATGAGGCAACGGCCACAAAAAATGGCATTTCTGTTCTCATGGCAATATCATTCAGAGAATCCTCCTTTCCCGACAAAATGTGCAAGATGAGAAGGCACAAAAATCAGGCGACAACAGGACCAAGGGTTGGGGGTGGCAGTGAGGTGCCATTCTTGCTCTTGCAAGGTAATAAATAACAGCAATAACAAATATTTATAATGTGCTTACTGTGGGCCAGAGCTACGCTAAATGCTTTATATACAGCATCTCATTTAATCATTATAAGATCCTGTGAGGTAATTACCATCTGGATTTTATTGAAGACACACAGCTAGGGAGGGGCAGAGCCATGATTGAAAAGCAGGTAGACTTCATGGTCATCGTGCCTTTGCTGGGGCTCATCTGCCTCAGTGGGCTGTCCTCTACCTTGTGTAGGACAGGGTGAGGCAGGTGTCATAAGGTGATGGGGAGGCAGTTGTGGAGGCTGCAGACTATACAGTCTGGTCTAAAGGGGCAGGGCTGCTCAGCCATGCAAGAATGTAGATGGGAGCCCTGGAATGACCAGGTCTCTCCATTTTCTAAGAAATAATAGAAATTAGGATTTTGTATGAGAAGCCTCCTGATATTTAACTGTTGGCAACTTATTAACACTTTTTTTTTTTTTTTTTAATTTTAGAGAGACAGCAGGAGTGGCAGAGAGAGGCACAGGGATAGAGAGAGAGAATCTCAAGCAGGCCTCAAGCTTAGCACAGAACCCAGTGCGGGGCTCTATGCAGAGCTTGATCCACAACCCCGGGATCACAACCTGACCTGAAATCAAGAGACAGATGCTCAACTCACAGAGCCACCAGGTGCCCCCAAACTGCTTGATTGAAAAGATACTCTATGAGCCAACTAACTCTACAATTGCTAACTAATAGCTGTCTGTGAGCTGAGCCAGGTCTCTGGGCTTCTAGTTTGTGACCTCTGATAGATGCGTTTGGTTTCCTTGCAGAGTTTCACAGTGTTTACCCTGCCGCTCTAAAGTCAGAGGGACCAACAGTGGAATGATCATCAAGATAGTGGCCATAAGCCACACACTGTGCTCTACTAGGGTGCAGAATACAGTTGCATATGCTAATCCTCACGAGGGAGGTGCTAGTGATCTCACTGGGCACAGAAAGAAGTAGAAACTCAGACTGGTCTGTGATTTGATCCAGGTCCACAAATGGTAGCAGCTGGCTCTCTGCCCTCCCCCCTCCGCCCCACCCCACTGAGCCAGTAGGAGTGCCGGGTTGGGGAAGTGTGTGTGTGGGAACTGTGCTGAGTATCTCCTGCTGTTACATGGTGAAGCAGAAGCTGAACTCAGGGCTCTGGGTACTCACAGCACTCGGAGAGACCGCAGCCCGTTGAAGGCATGGATGGGGATGCACCGCAGCCGGTTGTAGCTCAGGATCCTGTGGACAAAGACACACGGCCATTCCTATTCTCACATACATATGGGCGTATGGTCCACACTGTGGACCGCTCAAAGCAAATGATTTCTTTATCTTTCCAATTTTAATATTTTGACAAAAAGCCTCCCAACAATAAAGGGAAGGGGAACACCCTCCCCCACTCTAGGACATTCACTGGCTTCTGGCTTCGTTTTCCCAGCTTCCTCTCATCTTCCACAGCAGGCTGGCTTCCTAACCAGCTTTGCCATCACCTCCCTCTGTTGTCAAATGGTCAGTGCTCACAATGTGCAGAGCTAATAGGAAATAAATGGATCTGAGCAAAATATAATTGTGAAGGGAAACCCTCCACTGGGAAAGAAAATTCACAAATCACAGAAGGTAAGCTAAAGAGGGCCTTCTTCAGAAGTAATTAGGTGTTAGTTCCTCTCTAACTGCCCAGACAGTAGAGTTCTGACCTACTTTACTTTTCTTCTGCTGGTTAAGGTCTGCTCTACATGGGGCAGCCATAGCCCAGAGGATCACTAGAGCAGAGAGCACACGCATGAGGGGACAGGGAGAAAGGATGGCCCCAGGCCACTGACTGCCAGGCCCATATTGAACACAGTGCCCCATTGTACTCACAGGGTGGACAGGTGAGACATGTTACTGAAGGTGTAATTGGTCAGCACACCAATGCTGTTGTTGCTCAGGTCACTAGGACAAATAGAAAAGTAACACTTTACTGTTAGTGGCAACTTTCATACATTTGTGCATGCTATCTTTCGATCTACCCATCCATCCATCCATCCATCCATCCATCCACTCACCAATCTACTCACCTACCCACCCATTCATCCAAATGTTCATTTTTTCATTCAAGATTTCTTCAATCACTCATTCAAGCATTTGTTGGTCATCCATCCATCCATCCATCCATCCACCTATTCAACCATTCAATTACAAGTTTATCTGTCCATTTCATTCTTCCAGCAAAACATAACACATAAGATCTCTCCTTATGCCAGTGCCATTTCCTCCCAGGTCAATCCTTCCTTTCACTGTTCCTCCCTCTCTTCTGGCATTCATTCATTCCATCTTATCAGATTCTCTCTTAGGGGGAATGAGATTGGTAGGGGTATAGTCTTCTCCCAATTACAACCTCCAGATTCTCTTCAGGGATAAATATCCTAAGCAGTGGTTTTCAATAGTAGCTGCACATCAGAATCACCTGCAGAATATTTACAGCCTCTGAGGCCTGGGTTCCATGCCCAGATATTCTGGCTTGTAAATCAGGTATTCTGATTTAATTGCTTGAGGGTGGTTTTGAGCATCAGTATTAAAAAAAAACAAACAAAAACAAAAACAAAAAACTAATCAGCTGAGGTTCAGAGCCATTGCTCTAGAGAAGGGGTTCCCAGCTCGGGGCACTTTTGCTTCCCCAGTGACATGTGGCAATGTCTGGAGACATTTTTGGTTGTTCCTACTGGCGGAGGGGTGCTACTGGTGTCTAGTAAGTAGGGGCCCCGGGTTGCTGCAAAATATCCCACAATGCCCACCACAGCCCCACAACCAAGAATGATGTAGCTCTAAATGCCCACAGGGCTGAAGCTGAGAGATCTCATCCAGAGGCTGGTTTGGGGGATATTTAGGAAGCAAGGCTGAATGAGGTGACAGGTGGCTTTCTTCCACCTTTCTTCAGCAGCCCCATTTTTCCAAGGGCAACAGTGTTTCATTGTGAAAGAACTCTCAATTCCCCACTGTGGACCAGCTCCCCGCCCCCTAATCAGCCAGGGTGATCTTCCAATGGCCACTCGCCCAAGGAATTACTTTGTACTCTCACGGGTCCCACTTTGGCAAGGCAGCGAGGTGGTCAAGGGACAAAGCTTACAGACCACCCGGTTTCCTGGGCCTCATCCATGCCCTACATTTCCTCATTCGGGAGTTTTCCTGGATCTTGGCAGACTTGCAGCCAGTGGCATTTACCACCCAAAGGAACCTCAATTTCAACCATTTACCTGGAACATTTTCTGGGCAACTAGAGGAGGAAGAAAAAAACGCCCCTTTAAGCTTTTGGCAAACCTCAGTGCAGCCACAGCTTGCAAGAAATTGGAGACTGAGGAGGCTTGGGATTTAACTGGGGCACCAGAAAGTCAGAGGCTGTCCCACCTCTCTCTATGCCAAGGAGGAAGTTGATGTGGATGGACAGTCAGTGATGCCAGGCTCTGGGTATTTCTGTGTGTAGCTCTCACTGGTAAGACCTGGCCCATCAGGCCGGCTCACTCCTCCCAGCTGCCTCTCTCTGCTCCACCCAGGAGAAAGTGCAGGAATGTGGCGAAGCCTGCAGATCATCCTCCCTGACCCTCCACGTCAGTTTCCTGAGCTCCCCCAGGCAAGAAAATTACATGTCCCACCCGATGCCGGGCTCCTTACATAAGTGTCAGGTGTGGGAGGGCGGACAGCTCCCTGGGCACGGCTGTTAAGTGGTTTCCTTCCAGGTACCTGAAAGAGAGGGGCAGAGTGACGCTTGGCCAAGAGACACTGCACAATTTGTCATTTCTCAGAGTCACCTCCCCCGGGCTAGGTTGGGCCTCTGTTTTACTCTCTCAGCTTCTTTTCTCCCCTACATCAAAACACATACTACGTTTGTCATTTATATTTATATGCGTGATTATTCAACTAATGACATTTTCTCCCACTGGACTACTAAACTCCATTGATGGCAGGGCTGTTGTCTAAAATTGCCCAGTGCTGGATCCCCCAAGAGTACGTACAGAGCTGGCACACAGTAGATGTCAAATAAATATTTGTTAAATAAATAAAGCACTCACTCTGTACCCAGCCCTCACAATTCTCTTGGATTCACAATTGAGGAAACAGAATTTCAGAGATGTTAAAACACTTGCCCAAGGTCACACAGTGAGTGAGTGGCTGAGCTAGGACTCAAAACCCAGGTCCCTCTGACTATAATCTTACCACAATTCCATATGGCCTCTACTTAGCTACTGGAGGGCATGGGATTCCTGAGCCACGATTCATGCTAAGAACTCTAATTCATTGTTTTATTCTCTAGTGTGCCTCTGAAAGCTGAGGAAAGGGGGTATGTTCCTGCTAAGGTTCCCAGTGGGATGACTGCCTGTGAGAGGGTACAGGGGTTCAGACTGGGGACGTACCAACAGATGGAGACTCCTCCTGGACAGGCAAAGGCTGAACCTAGACCTGTCTGGACTTCAGGGTCCTGCACTGACCTGCTCACCTAGGAAGAGGCCACCTCTTTGGACACTTGAGTGAGCTTGAGAACAAGAGAAGGAAGTCTCGTTTTAATCATGAATTACAAAAGTTATCACTACCTTTAGGGGGTGACATGGGCCAATTTATTTATTCCCATCCTTGCTGGAAACCCCTTCACCTGGGCTTCTTATTGCTTTTGGGTCAACATTACAAAACCTTTAAGATGGCTTACAACACTGCCTCTGGTCTCCTGGGTGAAACTTTCTTGACATAAGCCTCCCATAGCTTCCTCTTGGAGTGGTCAACTCCCAGCGGTGATGTCCACCGGTGCTGGGTTTGCCTTAAACTCCAAGACAGCAGACTCTCAGTCTCTATCTCTAGCCCGGTGCTTCTTAAACGTTAACATATGTACACATCACCTGGGATCTGGCTAAAAAGCAGATCCTAATCTGGTAGGTCTGTGTCAGTTCGGAGAGTCTGTATTTCTAACAGGCTCCTGGGTGATGGTGGGAACTGCCAGTCTGCAGGCTGCATTTTGAATAATGAGGTGCTAGCACATTGCCTGGCATCCAGTAGACCCACCGTCAAATGACTGAATGGGATGAAATGGGTTAAAACAGGATATGAGTCAGTTTGTCAATGACCAAACCAGGCTTAGCTTTGAGGGTAAGTTGGAATGGTTATTACTGTAAATTAAGGCCAAGCAACTTTATTTCCAGGGCTGGTCCCTGGGAATCCTCAGGGCTCAGAATACCGGGCAGGCCTGCATATGGTCTTAGGTTGCCGTGGCATGTTGGATTAATGTCCTTTTGGTCCTTAATCCCTTGCTGTATACTCATTATGTGCCAAGAACTATGCTAGATGGGGAGGCGGGGGGGGG